AAACCATGTTATTAACAATAGTTTTTCTAACCTTTAGAATTCGCTTTAAAAGAAATAACTCTACTTTCTCTATATCATCAGCATTATATTTACCCCACACTTCACAACTAGAATTAAGAATACTAGATACATAAGTATCAAATAAGGATAGTAACGTTTCACAGTTATAATAATCATCTACAATTTTACTACATAAAGCAAAAATAGCCTTTCTATCTTGATTGGCTAACATTTTTTTGTGTTTAAAAAGCTACCATTATAATTAATAAGGATACCTAATACAAAATTGTCACATATATCAAGTTGGTTATTATCTAAAAAAACATTGTTTCTTGACTTTTTACACTACCTCTATTTCTAAACACGACTACTTTAGTGTTAGACATATTAATATATAAACCATATTCCTTTGAAGAAGAGTTTACAGCATTTATCATATTTTGCAAATCATCTATGTTCTCGCTAAATAAAACATTGTCGTCTGCGTACATAAGTAAAATTTATTTCAATTCATATGACTGACAGCCATTACTAATTAGCAATTTTACATAAAACATTTATCAAAGGCTTTAATATAATCAATGAAACAACAATGCAAGCGTTTACCCTTTCTTAATGACTTAGAAATTAATGAATGAAGACAGAAGATGGCACCATGGGCGGCTATTTTCTCCCTTGATTTTTTCCACAGTATAATCTTTTCCAAACGTCTTTCGTTCTTTACTAAATAACAGTATAATGTACAGCTCCATGCGTGTCATTTACGGTAATATCTACATTATACGTTGTATTTCTGAACATGCAACTCATGATAGTAATGCTTAAAGATGGATCAAAACTGCTGTCGGTTTCCGAATTCATTCATGTTGCATTTTTTAAATTCAATAATAATTTATTGCAATATTAGACACAAATCATTGCAACTTATATTAAGGTATATCCTTACCTTTATATAACTAGTAAAGCAGTTGTAACATATATAGAAAGCAAAGAAAAAGTGATCTCACATTCCTGAGGCGGATTTAAGGGGACAAGGGGCCAGGCCCCCGGACCCTCCCTAATGGAGCTACATATATGGATAATGCATAGACTTTTGAAATGTCTCACTCTAAACGTTGCTTGGTTAAGGGGCCACGCCCCATCCCTTTTTCAAAATCTGGATTCGCATCTGCATTGGTACAACAGAGGAGAAAAAGACAAAGTGGAACACAAAAAAGAAAAAAAAATGCTGACTTTGAATATTAAAATCTTTTTGACTGTTTAATGAAACAACAAATTTATCAAAAAGGACAGGCCGATAAGGGCTGTTTTTGGCCCCACCCCCAAATTTCCTTTAATTTGTCAAGTTGTAACTCTATACCACAAACCATCTGAAATGGTTGCATTTTGGGTCTATCTGGTATATTCTGTTGCCTAGCAACCAGTATAATGGTGGCGATAAACTCAATAAATATGCTAAATATACAGCTTTAATCTGTTTATGTTTAAGATCCAACCTGTTTAACATGCAGTAAATCAAACACTTATATACTGTTTAAATGTAACACAATGTAATGCACATTATTGGGCAAAATCGTTATAATTTCTCCTTAGCAACAAAATTATGCCCATAGCAACGGCCATTTATTTTCTTTTGCACTGCTTGGCTATAAAAAAAATATAAAATAAACTATCGCACCAACCTTGCACTTAAACGATTTTTTATCTGAAGTGATATGTAGTATGAACTGTCTAAATGTTAAAATTTCAAATTGGTACAAGCATGGTGCAGTGGTCAAAACGAAGGAAAACCACCCAAGTTTCTTTATTTTGCTTATGTTCCTGATTATGACGTCACAGTCGTTTACACTCCCCATTGTGTTGTCATTAAACATTTTTTGATAGATAAAAACAGTGTTTTTCAAATCATTTCCTCTAGTTCTAATAATTGATGGTGAAAAATATGATCATTTTAATTTTTTGTTATTTTGTAAATCTGGGGCCATTTTAGGCCATTATAGCTCCTACTCCTTTAAGAAGTAGTTGCGTAAGTATAGCGTTTCAATATCAATGTGTATATATCTATAATTTATATTTTAGATCATTGACCAGAGATATTCTTTCGTTGTGATACACGGCCACCAATCCAACTAAATCATACACAAATAATATGAAAACAAGTGCGTTAATCCGACTTCCGAGTATGCAGTAGAAGTAATAAACAATCAGGAATTGCTATACATTCACAAGGTAAGTCACCTATTTATGTCATAAGCTTTATATTTTAAAAAAAAACGAGAATGTCATTCGACCCTTTATTTTGTTTTCCTTCATGTGTTATCACAACTTTGTTGTACATTGAGTAGTATTTTTACTACAGCTTTTCTCCCGGTGAATAACGATACAATCTGCACGAAATTCTTACCGACATCTTATGTTATTTGTTAATAAGACACGTTATGCATAAGTACTGGTACATTTATTGATCGGTGTGATATATAAATTAATTATACGTTGCGAGATGTGTATATATGTCTTTATTATCATTTTATCGATATAAACCTAGGAGGATATGGTTTGAAGGTATCATATATGATTAAAACGTACCAAGTATGAGTTGATGGTAACGTAAGAACACACTACGAAAAATTTAGATCATAAAATTGCTCTTAGTATAATGTAGTTACACATCTCAATAATCCAGCTTTCTAATAAAAAAAACATCTTTATATGTGTAATGCTTGCTGAAAAAGCTCTCCTCTAAATTTATTTTCTTGTCTTTGCAGGTTCCAAATGGGAAAAGTTAAAGGGATTAATTTGACGTTTTTGCAAAAAATACAGATTGATTTTCTTTTCGCACTATTACAGATACAATATTGATGAATTGGTCGTCAAAGAAAAAGGCGATTTCAATCATTGTCCAATGTTGGTTATTTGATTATTTTTATCGTTTGTTTGCTGTCTCATTTTGTTAACGTTTCATCAAAGACATCCATTTCTTTATATAAGGTTCTGGTTGAGAGGTTATTTACTATTCCGAGCGAGTATTCTTATTTTTATAAACATTGTTAGATTGTTAGAAGCTGTTAAACTTAGATTACTTCATTTAATGAATTTAGGACGAGAATATTTATATATGATATGCAGGTTGCTAACTTGTTTATAACGATAAATAGCAAATAGATGCGTACAATAATTATTTGCATTTCCAGGCAAATAGTTTTGATCTGCGTGTTTCATTAAATGGATTTTTTTGCTAGCTCAGTTTTCGACTATTAGTTTTCTTTTATTGTTGAAGGCTTCCAGTAGACACTCCGGTCTTCGGTTAATAAAACTGGCAATCCCAGTCAACTAAGATAGGAGTCGAGCGCATCCGCCTTAAAAGGGTTGAATTTAAACCTTCATGCTTACTGGCTAATTATTACTGTTAGATATATATCCCCTAAAGGAAGGACGGTACCTAAAGATGAATTTATTCATAATTAACATTGACATTGTGTAAAAGAACATCATCATGTTGGTTACTAAAATATCTCTCACTTAATCATACTCGTTACTTTTAAGTCATATATGGTCCTTCTTAACCATACATTCTTAATTTTCTTGCGATAATTTGATAATAAGTACAATTATAAAGTATTTTGCTTTTTAGAATTAATTTATATATCACACAGATCAATAAATGTACCAGTACTTATGCATAACGTGTCTTATTAACAAATAACATAAGATGTCGGTAAGAATTTCGTGCAGATTGTATCGTTATTCACCGGGAGAAAAGCTGTAGTAAAAATACTACTCAATGTACAACAAAGTTGTGATAACACATGAAGGAAAACAAAATAAAGGGTCGAATGACATTCTCGTTTTTTTTTTAAATATAAAGCTTATGACATAAATAGGTGACTTACCTTGTCAATGTATAGCAATTCTTGATTGTTTATTACTTCTACTGCATACTCGGAAGTCGGATTAACGCACTTGTTTTCATATTAATTGTGTATGACTTAGTTGGATTGGTGGCCGTGTGATATAATCGACATTTAAGAAAATGGTCGATTTAATCTTCAACAGGAGAATCACGAGTATGGACATTTAGGATTGTTTACTTCATGCATTTTCGTATAGGTCACCATTGTCATTTAGGGAACAGCTTTGCAATATGTTAATATTTGTTTTGTATTCAGTGCATGTACTATAATTCAGTGGTTGTCTTTTATTGCTGTATATCCTATTTGTTTATCTTCAATGCTTTGTATATAAATCAGGCCGTTAGTTTTCTCGTTTGAATTGTTTAACATTTGTCATTTCTGGTCTTTATTAGTTGACTATACGGTATGGGTTTTGCTCATTGTTGAAGGCCGTACGGTGACCCATAGTTATTAACTTCTATAGCATTTGGTCTCTGGTGGAGAGTTGTCTCATTGGCAATCATGCCGTGACAACTTATTTTTATATGTAAATGTTAACATGAACTGCGATGCAAGTCAACAGATTAATAATTGAAAAAAAAATATAACAATTATGGAAATCATTATTTTATTTGTTAATTAATCACAATATTTTTTTCAATGTCTTGTTTGATTTAAAAAATATATCAAAACAGCGGAAATGGAGAAAAATGAGGCAAATAGATATAGACTCTGACATATGAAATTTACTTGCGAAAAATAATTTATGTAAATCCAGTTAAGATGATCTGGATGGGATCCACAGCATATAGAATAACTGGTAAAAACTAAAGAATAGAACTTGAGCAAATACAACTAACTTGAATAAAGAATAGAGAATAATGGATTGGCAATTTGCTTGAATATAAAGAACATGTGTATAAAAATAAAGAATAAGGTGAAATAAATGTTAACAGACAAACATTATTTACAGATTAACGAAATGGTTGATAACCCTTAAGGCCTTTCATAAAATTGGAGATAGTGGAGATAGTTGCAAGGACTATTTTGGGTCGAGAACAGTACGGAACATATAGGTACGAAATCGGTATAGAAACCGGATGCGGATATGGATAGTCGAGCATGCGTGCAACGTGGAACATAGAAAATGTCAATTTTCGATGAATTATGGTTATGAAGATATCGTCTTATTTGTGCTAACTAGAATGTAACCTTAAAGAGTGACCCGAGGAAAATTTAAACCGTAAATTCCATACCTTTTACACATATTTTCCACACAGTGACCATAAGGAAAAAAATGTCTTGTGTCTACAGACTTTTTAAGTGACTTCTTTTCAGCACTGTCCCTCAAGTTTTATATATGAATTCTAGTCAAATCGGCACCTGGTTAAATCGGAACCTGGTCAAATCGGTACCCGGTATAGTCAAATCGGCACCTAGTCAATTTGGCACCTGTTTAAATCGGCACCCGATGAAGTCATTTCGGCACCCATGTTAGATATGTTTAATATATGTTTTTTTTTCAGTATTTTAAGCATAAAGATTAAAATAAAGAAGGGGTTAAACAAGTATTGACTTATTTACATTTTTGGGGGATTTCTGTATGTATTTTTTTTTTGTCAACTTAATGTGTATTCAAGGTATTGGATATTTTTTATGCATGTTTTAACTAGTTGAGCATTTTGCATGATTGTTGGTTTAATGCTGTTTAAAGTTTCCTGAAAAACCACCTTAATTGCTAATTATTTTGCATGCAAGTTTGATTAGTGATAGTAATGAAAGGAACTCATAAGTTTTCCCTTTTATTGCATCTAATTTTCTCATAATTAAACAATAGCTTGGGTAATGGCTTCATTGTTTATTATTAAGTTTTTGAAGAAAAAACAGCAATAACTACCTGTATAGAGTTAAAACAACAAACATGTTAATTATGTAATTGATAAAAGTTATTAATTAATTAATTGAAAAGAAAACTAATCAAAACATCAGTCATAGAATGTTGAGAAAACTTTAAACAATAAATTTTTAAATTTATTTTTAAAGATGTAATGAATGATAAAATCCAACCCCAAAAATAATCATAAATAGAAAGATCATTTATACATTTTTAGAATTATTTTTATATATTTATTATATCAAATATTATTGGATGCCGAATTGACTTTAAATAGGTGCCGATTTGACTAGATGCCGATTTGACCAGGTGCCGATTTGACTTTTTCTATGGGTGCCGATTTGACCAGGTGCCGATTTGACTTGGAAGCCCCAAAAACATTAATTTGAAGACGGTCCAAGAAAAAAGATATGAGGCTCTTAGTGGTGAACATGTTATGGGGAGGGCAATGCCAAATTCTGATTGCTTCCTAAACTTAAGATATTCAAATTGAGCGAGGTAGTCTCTCTTCTTCCACTTTTTACCCCAATAAGGCAATATACCCCAACATACCCCAATATACCTCAAAAAACAGTTTCAACATAATTTGGTTGAATAATAATATCATTTTAGGCATTTTCGTGTTATTTTTACAACAACAATACCAGTTCTGCCAACTTTTAATAATGCAAATGCGTGAGATTTGGCCAAAATCGTAAAGATCAAAGAGAAAAAACAATAGATCAAAGGAAAATGCAGCCAAATAAGCATGAAAATGCGTGAGTCTCACGCTAAATGCGTAAGACTTGGCAGCCCTGCAATACTTTATTTTATAGATATATTTAATTTTAAATCACTTTTTTCCTCGTAACTTGTTCCGTTCATGTCAGCCGCTTCTGATCACAAAATGACTTTTTACCCCAATATACCCAAATATACTCCAATAAAACGTTTCAGTGCAATATTCATGTTCTGGAATGATAGTTTAACCATATTTATTTCAACAAACAATCCTATAAAATTGAGAATGGAAATGGGGAATGTGTCAAAGGGACAACAACCCGACCATAGAACAGACAACAGCAGGTCACCAACAGGTCTTCAATGCAGCGAGAAATTCCCGCACCCGGAGGCGTCCTTCAGCTGGCCCCTAAACAAATATATATATACTAGTTCAGTGATAATGAACGCCATACTAAACTCCAAATTGTACACAAGAAACTAGAATTAAAAATAATACAAGACTAACAAAGGCTAGAGGCTCCTGACTTGGGACAGGCGCTAAAATGCGGCGGGGTTAAACATGTTTATGAGATCTCAACCCTCCCCCTATACCTCTAGCCAATGTAGAAAAGTAAACGCATAATAATACGCACATTAAAATTCAGTTCAAGAGAAGTCCGAGTCTGATGTCAGAAGATGTAACCAAAGAAAATAAACAAAATGACAATAATACATAAATAACAACAGACTACTAGCAGTTAACTGACATGCCAGCTCCAGACTTCAATTAAACTGATTGAAAGATTATGTCTTCATCATATGAATATCAGGCACAATCCTTCCCGTTAGGGGTTTAGTATCATACCATCATAACATATATGAGAAGAACATCACCCGTGTCATGCCAACAACTGGTTTTTAAATGTGTTTGGTGCCGATGCAAAGACCCTATAAGTGAATCAATATTAACGCCAAAATATGCAACCTTTAATGACCTGACAACAGTATCGTAACTATACACATTTGTGTGTATTTAGAAGCTTTTAAAACTGTAAATGTAATTAATTTGTATACAGATAATGGTAACACTAAAGACCAGAACAGACCAGAAAATATACAGGGCAATTTTTATATTGCAATTTCTTTTTCACTCCTTCAAATTTAAGTTTTATTCAATAACATTGTATTTTCTGAAATAAGAGTTGAAATGTTTTTCATACATGTAGTTAAAATTAGAAATATTTTACTCATATTTTGAAATATTTTTCTTCAAATTTTAATTTTTTTTTCTCATATATGACTGTAAAAAAATAATTAGTGAAGAAAAAATCATATGGTGGTGCACTTCTTTTTTTACTATGGCCATTTGAAAGTACCCAATTCTGATGATTTTCCCATTTTTGGGCTATTATCATGAACAAAATCACAGTTTCACAATTAAACTTTTTTCATACTTTCAATAAAGATGAAGTGGACCAATCTGAATAAATTTAACTTAACATTGCTTAAGGTAGATGGGGTGTCTAAATTCTAATCCATAGATTTTTTTAATAATTTGCCAAAATGTAGTTTATATCATGCTTTTTAAAAAAAAATAATAAAAAGAATGGGTCACGGGGCTTATTTTCACGCTATAGGTTGTTCAAAATTGACAGATTTTGTATAGATTATGTATGGAAAACCCAATTTTCAGCCATAAAACGAAAACTACACCATAGAATTTTGAGATAGAATATGAGAAGATAGCTTTAATAGTATGCTTTCAGATAAGAAAAAGAAAAAATGGGGTCACCGAACCCGTTTTCTTGCTACATAATAAAATAGGTAAATTCCTAACACATTCTATTATAAAAGTACCTTTATCTGAATTATCTGCCCTTTCATTTGAGTTGCCTCCCCTTATGTGGCAAAGTTGGAAAAAATTGAATCAAACAAAAGTTTTCTGTTTTTTGTAAAATACAACCATAAATATGATAAAACATGTCATTTTCTATATTGAAATGAAAATTCTTACACATGAATTACCTACTACTCTCAAAATTTGCACATTCTATAAAAGATCTAGACCGATTGCTTTCTGGTATTTCAAAATCCAAGATGGAGGAAGACACCCTATCTACCTTAAGAAAACTATAGGTAGGTGTTAATATAAGAAAATTTCATAAAATGTTGTTGCTTTTTCGTGTCAAATTTACCATGCTGTCAATTTTGTAAATTTGGGATTTTTCTCTTTTTTTAGAACAAAAAGCATATTATTTCAACTTCTTTGTTATAAGGCCAAAAATAAATAATTGTTTGTTTCCCCAAACCCGACCCTATCAAGTCAGGTGTGGGTAGGTAGGTAGGTAAATTATTTTATTTTTTTGGTAAATTTGTTTTTTTTTGGTACTTGTAAATAGGAAATTACAAACCATCATTATAGGGCAGTATTTTAAATTCTAGGGTGTATCAAGCTATCAGTTTCCTCATGTGAGATATATTAAATAAAACTCTTATGTATAATTTGAAATAATTTATTTAATTGGGTGGTAATTTTCCAATAATGACACAGTCTCTGCAAACTGGTAGAACAATACGATGTGTTTTAATGGCATCTTGGTCCTTTGTTGCCCCCACAGCTGCACAGAAGGCACAGATATCGGGCTGTGCCAGGGTAGAGGCATAATATGGAAATTCCACATGTGTATTACAGTCTATCTGTAGGCGCACATTCACCACCCCTTCGAGAGCATCACCTGAAATAAAAGAACAACAGATATCTTTAATAAATAAAAAATAATATCTTAGAGTACTTTGTATATATATATTGGGAATTTTCAATGAATAAAATGTCTAAAATACTGAGCCTTCTGTTTATTATATTAAGCAGTATAATTTGTCAGAAATCTGTCTAAGTTCAATGTCAGAGAGTGTACTACTAGAATGAAGTTTATACCGTTCATTGAAGTATGCAATTTTCCACTGAAAGAAGGATTTAAACATTGAAACCATATCAAACACTGAATAACTCAATGGAACATGCATATAAAATACAATCAACTGAGAGTGTATGAACATTTTATTGTATGTTAAATGTGGAACTTTCATTCAATGTTGGTTCACAAAATCATGCTATGCAAGACCATGTTATTATATATATATTAAAAGTGATAAGAAAATCTTTTGGGAATACTATAAAAGCAAACCTTCAGGTGTGATAACAGATCCACAACAGTAGTCGTACTTGGTTAGCAGTCTGTCGAATGCTCTGGATTCTCGAACAGTTAGAGACTTTTTTGCGGAAAAGCAGAAAATACCAATTTTAAAGCCTTTGGTTCAGTGACTCCGACGGGGATCGAAGCCACCGTACTCGAGGCGAGCACGCTACCATTGTGGCAGCCTTCTTTTTAGAGAAGTATGGGCTGTCTGCTTTTACGAGACTAGTGTGGAGTGGTCTGCTTTTATTAGGGACCAAATGATTAATTTAAATCAATTGCTTTCAGGCCTCGGGTCAAATTAGTAAGGGCATAAGGAAATCATTAGGGAATTTAGGTTAAGGGTTTGCAAATTTGCAAGAAAACAAGAAAAAGAATGCAAACAAAGGTGGGGAGACTCTTCTTATCCTAAAAAAGTCTACCTTTGCTTGCAAGAAATAGATGTTGGGACGGTCACTTATTATGCATACCTGTAAACTTGTTAATAGCTTCTTCTTTTCGCTTAGGAAGTTTGTTGACAGCTTGACTGGCTCCCATCATTTTGTCAAAGGTATTGACAATATTTGAGGAGGAGGCTTCTTTTTCTGTAGAGGTCCCATCAATGTCAATGCAAAATTTCAAAAACTTAAAGTCTTTATTAAAGTCTAGTGCCAGTTTCATGTCATCACCATAGTGTGGACTAAATATTTCTGTAGAACCACTTTTTTCAGAAATGGATACACGGATGTGTTTTTGTCAAGAGCATCCTACTTCTCTTCAGTCAATTGTAAATCGGCTATCACGTCCTCACATACATGTATGTCTTCAAATATTTCCTTCTTCGAAAATCTGCGCAACACATTTGTTACCAAGTCTTTCTTAAAGTTTCCAGTCGAAAACGGCAACAGAAACCAACAGAACGGCGTCCATGTTCTGACATTTAAATGTATGAACAATCTAGAGAATATCGTAAAGACCCGAGACCATGTGGAAGAAGAAAGCCAAGTCGCGTCATCAAGACGTTTTCAACTATGCCGATTACAAAGGCGCTTTGAAGAACAGCGTCTCCTTCTTATGTCTTATGTATTTGACTCCTCCATTTCATAGGAGCACCGCACCACCACATGAATTTAGATAAAAAAAAATTCTACAGAAAATCGGCAATAAAATTATTCCGGTCGTGGCGATTTTTCCGGGTCGGTCAGGATTGGGGAAACAAACAATATTTTATTTTAGGCCCAAATGATTGAAAAAATACATATCTAAGAAATTTGAAAAGAAAAAATTGATATGGGATATACATGTTTCTGGTAAAATCATTTCTTGTACCCCTCACCCATTTTCTCAACATTTTGGCTAATGAGACTGACTTGATTGGTAATAAAATTTGAAAATTTCATTACTCAAAAACTACTTATTGTAAATACACAATTTTTTCACAGAGTTAAGTTTGATTATAATATTTTTTAAATTCATTGATATTTTCCACTTGTATCACATGTTTTGGAAATAATTCCAGAACAAGATTTCAATGAGACTGAAACGTCAGAAGAATACATCCTTAACCGAGTCTTGTTACTTAAAATGGCATATATTCATAAAAACGCAGCAAATTTTCAAAAAGATGAACAATGAATAGCTCTAACTTGATTTACTGAGAAGTAACAAGCATCATGAGCATATGAACAATGATGAAAACATCAAAAAAATTTACTATTTTCAAGGCTACACACTTTTCAAAAACCCAAAATAAAAATATGGTTCCTTGGAAGAAGTTGTTCCATTTTCTATAAATTTTTGCCATTTTAAGTAAAAAGACCCAGTTAAGAAAATTTCCAAAATTGAAAACACTAAATTTCAAAAGTGTAGTAATTTGGATTATGCAAATGCCTGAACTTAAAATTCAAAGGGAGGACATTTTTTTTTTACCAAAATGGTAACAGTTGAGTTATCTTTCATTGTCTTTCTTTCACCCAGATGGCTCCCCTCTCACAAATTGTTCATCTTTATCTGACCTTTTCATAATATTGAAGGCATTACTTTTCCATGAATGTGTATATATATGTTTGTATTTTTCTTGATTGATTTTCCTCATTCCCTTTGAGTAGAAAATAAACATATTTGATCTGGTTGAGAGGAACTATCTCTGTAAAATTATTAAACTGAATGGCAACATTATGAACTGATTAAAACATAACCTGATTACATAAACATTCAACTTTCATTAACATAAAAAAATATCTGATAATATAACTGACTACACAAACCACTCATACTTCTTAAATAAGGGATAGCCATATGTACAAAGGCAAACAACAAAAAAACACACGATCCATATATTCTGACTCGGTACAGGCGTGTGTAAATGGTGGGGGGAAACCAGTTAACTTGTATGTATTGTGAGGTAATACTTTTACTTACTTGGTATTTTAAAGTGAAAAGTAAAGATTCATACCTGCCAACTTTTTTTTGGGATTTTAAGCACAAGAGGACCTAATGCTCCTCTTATATTGCATGTATTGTCATAAGTGTTTTTAATCTACTTCTATATTGTTTGAATGAATGTACATGTATATCCTTTTAACTCATTTGAATGCCGGTTTTGAGATGTTCAAATAATATATTAAAGAATTTAATTCAGATCAACACCTCTTATGGGGGGATATCACCCATAAATCAGATAGTTGGTAGGTCTGAAGATTTATTTTTGTATTTACAGATTATGGGAGCCAACAGTAGTAGTATCAGTGAACTGACTAACAATGAATATTTGATGAAGCTAGCCGGCACAGAATCTCTGTCTACTATTGATCCATTCTGGAATCAACTGTTGTCGTATTCTTTCCTGATCCCAATAAACAGGTATTCTCTAATTTTCATGCTTTTTTCACATTTCTCGATCGATGTGAGAAAATTTTTTCTCATCTCTAGAGAAAACTTTGATCTCAACAAATGATTGGTCGAAATTCAATTATGACGTCAAATTTTCTTGGTTTCTGTTGAATTTCCTATTGTCAATAATTGTGATGTCGTGAAAAAAGACGACCATGTCTGGGAAATGTACACTTTGTTTAGATATCGTCTAAAAATCATTAGAGAAACAGATTCCACCAAGGTCTATATCTCGTGTATTACGATATTTCTTCCCTCTCAACAGTTAAATTTAAACTATTTAAAAAGCTTGGCAAGCCTCACCCTTTAAATATTAAAATTTAACAGTCTCAATTGGAGAAATATTGTAACACACTTGATGCAGTGGTGGAATCTATATTTATACTCGACCATGTTTACAATTAACATGATTTTAATGTGGATTTTGTCTTTCTCATCTGCCATTAGTGGGAAATGGACAAAGAATTCTTAATGGTTCCCTGTGTCTATCCTTCCTAATAAACATGTCATTTCTCTTTTTTTATGCCCCCCGCCGTAGCGGAGGGGGCATTAAGTTTTACCCTTGTCCGTCTGTACGTCCCAAAATTGGTTTCCGTTCGCTAACTTTAGTTTGCCTCAACCAAATGTTATGAAACTTATACACAATACTTATTACTACAAAACACAGATAAAGTTTGAATTTTGGTGGTGTCACTTTTACCATTCTAGAGTTATGCCCCTTTACAAATGGAAAAATTGCTGAATTTTTCATTTCCGTTCTCTAACTTTAGTTTGCCTCTACCAAATGTTATGAAACTTATACACAATGCTTATTACCACAAAACACAGTTCAAGTTTCAATTTTGGTGGCGTCACTTTTACCGTTCTAGAGTTATGCCCCTTTACAAATGGAAAAATTGCTGAACTTTTTGTTTCCGTTCTCTCACTTTAGTTTGCCTCAACCAAATGTTATGAAACTTATGCACAATGCTTATTACCACAAAACTCAAATCAAGTACAAATTTGGGTAGCGTAACATTTACAGTTTTTGAGTTATATCCCTTTATAACGTTATATGCAAGCGGGGCATCATCTGTGTCCCATTGACACATTCCCCATTTATTTTTTTATTTTTACATGTACATCATCATGAGAATTGAACATAGATTACCTTGGAACAATAAGTTAACCTATTGTGTTTAATTTTTTTGTCAAATGCTATGCTGAATTTGAGTTCACATGATTGGGCTTCCAACGGTTGGCTGTAAAATCCACGAGAGCTGTAGTAAAGACTTACGATTAATAAATATACAGTAAGATATCTTTTTGATATATAGAAAAACGTATGAATTTATATATGGGAAGATACATGTTTGTTATTGCCTGTTAACTGAAAACTCAAAATTAATTAATAAATAAACATCTTGACATTGATGAGTTTTTAGCTAAGAGCACTCTTGGGATCTGTTGAACATCTACTTCCATTAACTTAAATTTTTCATCACACATGTTTCCAGTACTACTGAACATAATAAAATTAATTCAAAAAGCATGGATTTTTCTAGCACTCCAGAGGGTCCGGTTATCTTACCCCTTCCCAATGCCACAACTCCTAAATTTTTCCCAATTTCGGAAGGAAAAATTCCCAAACAATTTCAAAATTTCCAAAAAAAATATATCCAGAAGTTATTCTTACCGAAACTACGCTCTTCACTTTGAAGGTGAAAAAGGCAGTAAATTCTTATCACATGTGCCCTTTAAGAAGTCCGATATTTTGCTACTTAGATAAAATATTTTTAAACATGTTTCTGTTTTTATTTTCACAAAAACATTATTTCTAATGAACTATACACACTAAAACTCACATCTGGTGTATTTGTTGTTTTCCCAATTTCCTTGAAAATCTCGTAAAAAAAATCCCAAAAGTGCCCAGGGTCCTTTTTCCCAAAATACTGATAGGATAACAACTGCATTCTGGTTTATATTTCTGTACTTTTCCAGGTTTTTCTATACTTTAAGGCTCTTTTGGTATGACCAGCTCTGAAAGTTTTTATTCTAGGTTTTTGTTTTTACAAATATTTTGGCCTCCAGCAACAATGAAGAGTCACCAATTGTTGAAATGCGCATCTGGTGAAGTCGAAGTCGGTATAATAATATTTGTTTATATTGCAGCTCTGATGCCAAACTTTTAGAAGAATCAACTGTTTCAGTCTGTAAGAACCTTGCCATCAACAATGCAAAATCAGGAAATTTTGGATCACTTGTACGGAACTTTCTCGTCAGAGCTACAGAACTGAAAGCATCAGCGCAATGTGAAGAGTAAGCAATTATGTTCATACATGTAAACAATGTGGGTTAACCATCAATGAGACTGCAAATCTAAAAACTGCAATTCCTCAATGGACCAAGTGAGGAGCCTGTAGTTAAGTGGTTGTCGTTTGTTGCTGTATATTTTATTTTTTTTTTATTTGTTTTATAGATAAAATCAGACCGTTAGTTTTCCTTCTCGTTGGCACTAATTTACAATTGTCATTTGGGGCCTTTTATAGCCTAATAACTTACTTTGTGGTATTGGTTTTGTTGATGGCCATACAGTGACCTATAGTTTCTCAACTTCTACATCATATGGTTTCTGATGGAGAGTTGTTTCATTGGCAATCGTACCACATCTCCTTTATTTTTACATAAATACCAACATATAATTAATGACATTTATAAACAAGATGAACAAGATTCCTGACTAGGACAAGCATTAAAGTACGGGGAGGGGTTGTAAACATTAAAACTTGATTGCTACATTTTCTTTTTTATAGAAATAGAAGATCTCTGTTTTATTATGCTGACTATACGGTATTGGTTTTTATGTTGTATATTGGTATCACGAAGTCGTCAGCGTCGTCCGAAGACATTTGGTTTCCAGACAATAACTTTAGTATAAGTAAATAGAAATCTATGAAATTTAATCACAAGGTTTAAAACCACAAACGGAAGGTTAGGATTGATTTTGGGGGTTATGGTCACAACAATTTAAGAATTAGGGGCCAAAAAGGGGCCCAAATAAGCATTTTTCTAGTGTCCAGACAATAACTTGTGGATCAGTGTATGGATCTCTCTGAAATTATACCACAAGTTTCCATACCACAAAGGGATGGTTAGGATTGGCTTTGGGGGGTTATGGCTCAAACCGTTTAGGAATTAGGGGCAAAAAAGGGGGTAAAACAAGGGTTTCCTGGTTAATAGACAATTACTTAAGTATTGGTCTGTGGATCTCTATGAAATAGATATTGGACCATTAAGCATTTTATAAGGGATAGCATTCGATTGATTCATGATATTTTACAGAATATAGAAGAGAACAATATTTTGGGATTTTGATGTTGAGAAAGGTTTGATTCTTTACGTTGGGACTTTTTGCTATAAGTATTACAATTTTTTTCATATGCTGAATCTAACTGTGTATTTGGTTGTTGGGCCCATTTTCTAATTGATCCAAATTTTGGTCCTAAGGCTATAAAATTTGTTTTGTTTGATTTAATAAACATTGAATACATTTTAAAAGATGATACATTTGTAATTACAATGTTATATTTGAATTACCCCCCTTACATTGCTTTTGAATTAAGCAAAATAATTTTTAGGGGGGATCTATTTTTCTTCAAGATTTAAAAAATTGTCAATTTTCCAAAGAAACATTGTGTGTCACAATTGCTAATTTTTTGTATATCGTCTGAAAACAGATTTACAAAGTATTGTGCAACAGCACAGTGTATTGCACAAAAGCAAGAAATTGAATATAAATTCAAATCATATAACCAATTCTAAGTTTTTTGACTACAGCAGAGCTCCAGATAAGCTGTGTATTTGCGTGATCACGCAATACAAATAATTAAACACCCAATGCAATTGCCCATTGCAGGGTTCAAAAACCCAATTCATTCAAAGGAAAACCCAATTATATGCCAAAACCATGAGTTCTTAACGCTTTTATTCGCTATTGTTTGCGTTATTTACCCTTATCTGATTACAGTCGTCGCGTCAATCTATTTTTATAATATTTATAATTGGAAATGTCCTTTCGTTCTAAAAATAGAGCCCTGCATCAAGTAGCCGAAATGGGTCCCTGTTGGAATTTTCCGTTGCTCAAAAGGTACACGTGTTTATGAAAACATTTCGATCTTCTCGGCGTTTATCCAATTAGCGTTTGTCTTGTTGTCATATTATTTTCGAATTGCTCGGGATTTATCATAACATACAATGAATTAAAACGAAAGTAAATATCCGATAAAAATATTGAATAGAATAAAATTGAGAATGGAAATGGGGAAGCATGTTTTCAGCTTCTTTTTGATACTTTAGGGAAAGCTATTATGATGATAACTTAACATACCTTAACAAGAACATTGCTAGAACGATAAACACGGGGTTTTGTCAAGAACGAAATCAGTTGGAAAAAGTGAAAGGCCAAATCAATTATGACATGATATATGTAGTTGGAAAGCATCAGAAACCAAAGTTCTAATCAGCTGGGACAACTTAACCCAGATTTATGTAAATTAAATTAAACAAAAACATTCAAGTATAATTTTAGTTTATATATTATTTTTTTCATTTTAGGGGACGACCATTTGATATTCTGTGGGGGGGGGGGGGGGGGGGGTCAGGAGGATTTGTTTTGAATCGGTTATTTATTTCTGTAAACTAAGAGGACAGATTATTTATTTTCTGCACTGTTGAAGCAAGATTTTTCATTTTCATTAAAACAAGGGACTGATTATTTATTTTCATAACTATATTAATAAATTTTGAAAACATACAATTTTTAAATTCATTTTTTATTATAAATAATACATGTACAGTCAAGTCATTAATGTACCATTTAATCAGAATTAATCATCATCCTCTGCGGAAATGAATCTTCTGAATTCCAAACTACAAATACATGTATTGCATGCATACATGGTATTAAAGTTGGGCTGTGACTAGCTTCTTTTAAAAGTATTACCAAATATATTTACGCCGAGCGGAGCGAGGCAAAAAAAATATTGAAGGGTTTTGCAGCTGCTGAAGGCTCAAAAAAAATATAGAACAAATGATGCAAAATCGTGCTTTCTGGGCGTTCCCAGACCCTTTCTTATTCTGAAAACGCAAGTTCTGTTTTAATAACTTTTTGACAATATTTTGGTCTCAATGCAAAATGTATAGATTCAGCGTAAGACTTAAGTTTTTATGGACAACATCAAAAGACCAATATGAAGAATAAAGTAAAAATGTAATTCACATAGTTAAGTATGTGGCTGCTGGTTTTTTTTTGTTGTTTTTTTGTTGTTTCGGCATGCAGAATTTAAATCTTTTATACCTGTAAATTATATGGGGTTTTATTCAAATTGAGTTAAGAGGGGGCTGATTATCAGTGATATAACTATGTCAAGTAATTTTTAATAACACATTTCAATTACAACTTGATGTAGCTCTTAACTGGGATACAATTTAAAGTAGTTAAGTTGTAAAATTAGCCAAAAAGTCTTAAATAAAATAAAACTCATGATCAATTTGAAAACAAAATGACTAAATCACAAAAGGAATGCAACACTAAGAGAATACAGAAGGGCAATCAATGAACAAAAGACAAATTTAAAGAAACATTGATCCCGAAAAAACAGGTGCTACATCCAAGGGAGAACAGAACTTGTTTCTTGCAAACACTCGCTGTGAAAACAATTTGATATGAAGACAAGCTTTTGGTTTTAAAATTTCCTACATAAAGGCATTTGCCTCAATGTAGTTACAGCCCTGTAATAAAAGTGAGGTAAGTGTTCCTGAGCCAATATACCTCAAGTTAAATGAAACCCATTTAAGACATATCAAGTATATTTAAATAATATGAATACCTTTATTAATAAAAGATTTGGGAAGTGTTTCCCGAATTTTTTTTTGAAAAAAGATGAATTTTATGAAGAATCTGGTGCCACCTCATACTTTCGAATAGCATTTAAAAAATGGCTTAAAGACCTGCCGAGTTATTCATTTTCAATACATTGTAAGTCAGGTTATTTATTTTCGAACAACCACAGAACAAACCTTTTATTTTTGTGATTATCAAGGCTGAGTTATTTATTTTCAAAATCCTCCTCTTTAAGTTGAATGTGGTCTCCGTCATTAAACCTATAAACCTGGTCAAGGTTTTGGGGTATATCTTAAATCTGGGAACTACTTATTATTTTTATTAAAAAGTAGATCTGGCAAATAGGTGAAAGGACTGGCAAAACTTTCTTACAGCACCTAAATTTCACATATATTACATAAAAATCTAAACACTTAGCCACGCCTACGTAGGGTGATCATATGGGATCTAGAAAGGTAATTAGTAACTGTCCAACTATTGACACCAGCTGTAGTTTATATAAGTTGTGAGAAGATACAAAACTGGCAGAACGTTTAAAATCGGACACAAATTAAACGTACAATTGCTCGTCAGTGAATAAACCAAATAAAACAGCTAGCAATTATATACAAAGAAAGAAACACATTTAAGATGGAAAAACATCTGCATGGGGTTGATATAATGTGATTATAACATGCCTAAACATTCAATATTGTGTTGATGAAAACACCCAATACATTATGGAGCTTGGTGGTGAAAAACCCAATTTGATATTTGCTTGAGGGGTGAATTGGAATTGATAATGCAATTTAAAAACTTTATCACCCAATTACATAAAAAAATGGTGGGTAAAAACCCCAATTTGTGAATTCTTATCTGGAGCTCTGCTACAGTTATTCTGTGTCAAATATTTAACTACAATCCAAATTCAGACCTGTATCAAGCGCGAATATTGTGTCCATTTCTGCCCCAACTGTTCATGGTTGGACCTCTTGGGTTGTATCCAGCTGCGCTTGGTGAAGCAATTTATTTTCATTGTTGAAGGCCGTACGGTTGCCTTTAATTGCTTACATCCACTTTATTTGAACATGAGTGGATAGTTGTCTCATTGGCAATCATACCACAGCTCCTTATTTTTATATCTATTAAAGTAAAAGAAAAATGAAATTCTATGTTAAATCTTGTATTAATTTTCTTTCAGTAACATATTCACCTGGCAGACATATAATGCCCTGTTTATCATCAGAAGTCTTTGTAAATATTTTGTGGAACATTTGAGTGAAGAACTTATCATTCAACAGTTTGAAGCCAGACTACCTAACATGGATGGTAAGATCTTTTTTTTGGAAGGATGTGGTTTAATAACACCAGGTTTAATCCACTATTTCTACATAAGGAAATGCCTGTACCAAGTCAGGAATATGACAGTTGTTTTCCATTTGTTAGATGTGTTTGAGATTTTGATTTTGCCATTTTATAAAGGACTTTCTGTTTTAAATTTCCCTTGGAGTTCGGTATTTTTGTTATTTTACTTCTTTTTTTTTTAAATGATTGAAATGTAGATAATTCACACAGGGTGACCAGTCATGTCAGGGTTTATAAAATAGTGAATGAAGTACCAAAAAGAAAAAGAATAGAGACAGAAAAGTAAAAAAATGATCAAATAGCAAATAATGGGATGGTCAAATATAAGAAAAAGTAACAGGCAAAAAAATAAAGAATAGATTGATTGATTGATTGATTGTTGGTTAGTCAGTAGTAATACTTTTATGTGTGTCTTTTATATACATGAATATGTAAGCCATATTTACTTGAATAAGAAAATTTGTTAGATTTAGATTTTCCTTTCAAGATTTAGATTATCTCCCCTTATGTTTGTACAAAATATTTTTTTTTACAATTCATGAACATTTCAATTTTTGGAAGTCAAAACATTCCTTAAGCAGTTTTTCTGGTTTGCTTACTATTTTTTAACTAGCCTCCAATCTGTTATCTAATGCACTATACAGAGAAATAGATTGTGCACAGATGTTAAATAACTGCACAAGGCCTTCAAAAAATGCTCTGAAGAGTCTTGTGAAGATGCTGTATTTTGAAAACAGACAAATCAGATTGTCAACGATACTATGTATTATAAACTGACAGTTTAACACACCATTATATTAATACAGCCTAGAGGAATTGGAGATAAGAACAAATATTCATTTAAACAAAATCTGAATGACAAAGGGAGATAACCTACCTCTAAATTATTTACCTGAAATAGCAAATAAATAAGTATTACCCCTAATTATTGGTGTTAAATGTCACTTTCAGCACTGAAGATTTTATCATGGCGGCCAGTTTCTGTTGGGAAAGGAACCCCTCATAAGAGCCTCATGTCAATAGAGTTAAATATATTGTATATATATCCAATGAGATCAAAAATATTGTAAAATTATTTTCATTGATTGACTTCAAGTTTAAGAAATATTTTATGCCAAAAAAAATATATGCCTGTTTACGGTTACCCGACAGACCCTACTTTTGAGCGCCAACCCTAAGTCATTTTATTCCCGTCATAAAGTGAAAAATTTAACTGATATCGTTTCAAAAGCGAAGAATTGCCAATGAAATAAATCAATTGCCTGATACTGTCATACATCTAAATGTTCACCAGCATGAATATGACAGCTGTTTTAAGTAACTCGTGATTCATTAAAAATACAGGTAAACTCTGCCCATGGACATCTCGAACCAAGGCAAGACGGACCGCACCACTCAAAATCATGTCGCCAAAAAAAGAAGTCTGTTTGTTTACATTTTTGATCAAATCACTCGAAAAACATGATCCTAGCCGGACACAATACCTACTGTGAATTAAACACACCAAAATCTAACATTCATCAAAATGAACATTGCACAATTATTGTATAATATATACTAACTGTTTTCCTGTAATGATTATAACAGGATATGTAGAAGCAGATGAAGTTGGACCACTGACAGAGGAACTCATGAATTCATTGGTAGAATTATTGGTAGATGTTCCTGTTGTGTAAGTCTTAAAATTTTTGCACAAGTCCCCATACTTCAAATTTTTTTAGGGAAAACATTTAAATTTGCTATAATAAGTTTGATGCATAAATAGACCTTGTTATTACTCCTTTAGTTTTCTTCAAAGCTAATACATTTTCAAAGTTCAAACTTTTTTTCGTAAGGGTGACATACAGCACACTTGTTATCTAAATGATTAAATCATATAAAATTATAAGTAGGGACTATTATAATAGAGTCATGTATTGGATGCTCTAAGCCAATGTAATACTATAAATTCAGAAATTATTGCATGCATTTATTATTGAGGTTTTTGAAAAATAGAAAAAAATGTGAGTTTAATTAATGCGGTTTCAGAAACATTTGCTTACAGATATATGTATCAGTTATCAGAATGCAAGTTCTTATTATTGAGATACTCACCCAGTTGCATTATTCGCATTAACAAAAACCTCTCAATAATTTCTGAATTTACAGTAGCTAATCTAGATGCAGGACAGTTATTTAGACGTGATAACTATCATTATATATTATTTCTTTTACAGGAATTTTACATATGCTCTACACTTAGAAGCTCTGAACACACTACTGGTATTATTGTCAATACAGATGTTCCAACCACAATCTGCCAGTAAATTTGTTACTTACAAGTACATGATGGAGGGAAGATGGTAGGTTTATATAAATATGAGATACAGAGAAAGTTCTGTGCACATAAGAAATACATGGAATTAATATTATTTCAGACATAGTCATGGTAGTTTATAGATTCCACCACTACATCAAGTGTGTTACTGTATTTATCCACTCGAGACAGTTAAATTTTAAAAATCAAAAACGGGAGGCTTGTTGAGAGTAGAGAAAATATTGTAATACATGAGATATAGTGGTGGAATCTGTTTCTCTAACATGTCTAATGATTTTAAGACAATATCTAAACAAGTTTATTCTCCCTCTTCAAAGGTTTGCAGAAAGTTATGTTCTTTATATGTGATGTCAACAGGCATGGTCGCCATTTTTCATGACGTCAAAATAGGAAATTCAGAAGAAATGAAGAAAATTTGACATCATAATTGAAATTATGACCAATCATTTGCAGAGAACAAAGTTTTCTTTTGAGATGATAAATATTTTTCTCACACCGATCGAGACATATGAAAATAGCATGAAAATTAGAGAAGCACATAATTTGTGACAAATTTGATAGCTAGATATCATGTGATTTATAAAATATATCTTTGCTATTTAAGGAAACCCATATTACTGCAGGCAGTGTTTCAAAATTTGAAGAAATTAAACCTCTAAATCAAAATGACAGTGGAAACAGTATACGTCATGTACAAAGACGTGACATTATACCTATAGTAAAAAACAATGTAATTTCACAAAAGAATTTGCAAATTCTCTGATTTTTAACCGGATTTTCGAAGGAAATATCGGTTATTGAATTGGGGATGTACGGCGGGCGGCTGCCAAACAGTGTCTACACAATAACATGAAAACGCTTTAACAAATTTTTTTCAAATTTTAATATGTTGTTTCCTGCGACTTAATGGAGGTCTAGTTCAATTTTCAAGATTTTAGTATTTCTCCTTTTTGAGTTATCACCATTTTTAATATCCAAAATTGGTATTTTTAAATATTTTTCTCTCTTGTTATCAATTATGACTAAGGTAAAACATATGGTAAAAGTCTTATCTCACAATTATAATTGGAGTGACAGATTTATTTGAAAATTTTCTGTTTTCTGATAAGATCTGTAGGACTGTATAAATAAATTTATAAATTTACTAGTAGGACTGTATAAATGAAGGTTGAAATTTACTGTTCATTATTAGACACTTTGAAGATAATTACAGATAAGTTTTATAGGTTTTTAAGAGATAGACATTTTGAAGTTAATTACATTACTAATAATTATATACCTAATGTTAGAGCACTTTGTTAAAAGGTTAAACCATAGTTCTGTTCAAGGGGAAATAACCTTTCAATTTGCAAGCATGATTCATTAGATAATAATCTATTATTTATAAGTTAAAAAGTTAAAATTAAGATAAGATAAGTTGCAGATCTATATTAGTATGTTACAGATGAAAGAAAAAATATTGGGAACTATCAACTATATATATAAAGTTTGATTTTGATTTATACACTAAGTGATAAGATAACACACATCTGGTAATTTTCAATGCAATCACCCAATTATAATTGGAGTGACAGATTTATTAGAAAACTATTATTTATAATTAATTATAATTTGAAAATAAATATAACATCATGTCTCTTTACATCATATCTAATTTTAGAGTCTATGGTTAAATCATATTTAATTTTAGATTAACATGATCATGATGATTAGTTCATGGAAATAAAGTTTATTTCCATTTAAACAGAAATGGTTTAACTAAGGAGTATTTCATCAAAAATTGAATTCTTGGGGTTCTTTGATATGCTGATTCTAGCAATGTACGTAGCATTTGGATATATGTAAATGTTCAATTTCAAATTTTTCAGTTCTTTGACCACATTTATTGTGTCCATACTTGCTCAACTGTTCAGGGTTTGACCTCTGCAGGAAAATCTGGTTTGCTGTCACTCTGACAGCCCCTTGTTATGGGATAGCCTTGATGGACTTGTGGTAGCATTAATTCCCTGAGTGGTGTAGGTCCTGTATTTTTATGCCCCATTATGGGCATTATGTTTTTTCGGTCTGTGCGTCTGTTTGTTTGTCCGTCCATTTGTCCGCTTCAGGTTAAAGTTTTTCAGGTTAAAGTTTTGGGTCAAGGTAGTTTTTGATGAAGTTGAAGTCCAATCAACTTGAAACTTAGTACACATGTTCCCTATGATATGATCTTTCTTATTTTAATGCCAAATTAAAGTTTTGACCCCGATTTCACGGTTCACTGAACATAGAAAATGATAGCGCGAGTGGGGCATCAGTGTACTATGGACGCATTCTTGTTTATTAAGCAACTGGGTGAGTTTCACAATTATAAGAACTTGAATTCTGATATCAGATATATATATATATATATATATATATTATGCAGCTTTTCCAGAAATCGCAATAACTAATCTCACATTTTTGTCTATTCTTCAAATATATCAATAATAAATGAATGCAATAATTTCTGAATTTACAGTAGTTTGGATTTATAAAAAATGTTAAAAAAATTTCAAATAAGTGTCCATGATATAATAGATTCTGGGAAGTATGCAAAAAATCCTTAAAATCAAAGAGTATGTCAATTCTAAAGTATTGAACGATGAATTAATTTCTCTTTTTAACTGCAAAATAAACATACAAAGCGTGTTTTTTTACCAGAAGTATAATTTCACTCCTACATTTGATGAAATTAAATATGTTGCTGACTCCATCAATACATTGAGATATTAAAACAGTTGATATTTTAATATAAGTCATTAAACATGTTAAAACTAAGGTTGATACAAGAAATTTTCATTATTTTTTTCAGTTCTATCCATGCCTGTTTATTGATAAAGGCATTGTTACGGAATTATACATCACAGCAGAAATGTCCTCCAGAATTATATAAACATACGTCAGATGCTAACAGCATGGTTGCTTCTGTGGCTGGTAAGAGTTGTCTCCCCTCTTATGCTAATCAAGAAGGGCATATGGTGTTCAAAACAAAGCAAAAAAAAATCAGTGCAATGAAAAAAAAATGTCATACTGCCCTCAGTCTATAAAGGAGAAAACCACATGTATCTTTTCAAATATGCAAGTTTGATAACAATATTTCTCTATTCTAATTAATAAAGTTTCCTTGAAAAGCAATTTTAACTGTCCAAATTGGAAAAATAAAGATATAAATTGTATTTAATGTCTTTGTACTTTTGTTTGAGTCAGGGCAGTTATTTTACAGTCAAATAAAACTACAAAAGAAGCATTCAGTTCTTATTATCATGTGAATCAGTGTTTGAGATATTTTTAAGGGTTAATGGGAATAACCTCAATGTTGGTATTCTTTTAATTTATATGATGGTTGTGTTAATTTAAAGTTGTGATCTCACCATGCATAAGTCAGGAGCCTGTTATTCAGTGGTTGTCGTTTGTTGTTATGTAACACATTTTTTTTTTGTTCATTGTTTTGTACATGAATAAGGCTGTTAGTTTTCTCGTTTTAATTGTTTTACATTTGTCATTTCGGGGACTTTTATAGCTGACTATGCGGTATGGGCTTTATTCATTGTTGAAGGCCGTACAGTAACCTATAGTTGTTAACTTCTGTGTCATTTGGTCTCTTGTGGAGAGTTGTCTCATTGGCAATCATACCACATCTTCTTATTTTTATATAAATATTTTAGTGAAAATGTTGCCAGTACATTACAGTATAATTCTATTTTCAGCCAGCTTGTGGTCGGTTATGACACTAGGAATGGCAAACAAAACTGAGAAAACTGAGGCAGAATATCAGGAGACATTATTAGCCAATCAGAGCCTGTTATTTCTGTTAGTGCTATCTAACCATTGTACAACAGAGTTCAGCTTGAACAACCCATACAGAGAGGCTTTGTGTTCATTTACTAACTCACAGGGTAGGAGACATACTAATATATTGCTCTTGTTTTCTTGAAATGTAAATAATTTAATTTTGGATGTAACACGTCTTCTGATTGGCTGATTTGTTTATCAGCTCATAGACATACTTTTGTCATGTGACCGTGACGTCATCAACGTTTTTTCATGGTTTACTCATGTTTAAAATGGAATTTAGAATTAAATTATAAGAAATGACTGTAATATTTTTTCTGTCTATTCGACAGAATATTCTACGCGGGTTATTCAGTGTGCACCACATTTTTGATGTTATTTCTTCATAGACAGAAAAAATATTACAGTCATTCCTTAAATAGATTGATTATTAATGTTTATCAGTGTTGATAGGCTTGTGAAAAACATATATGGAAACAATTTTGCAAAACAAGGAACCTAAATAATTGGGATGACCCCTTGAATAAAGAAAAATTGTTATTAGAAAATGTGGGGTCTTATGTCAATGAAAACGCATCTCAACAAAAAGACATTGAAAGGTAGGGATATTGATTCAACAATAGCATGTATATAGAAGACTTAATTTCTTAACAATATGTCAAGCCCTGAATAGATGTTTTTCCCCTTTATGCAAATTTGTCCGCCATTACGTAAAATCACACAAGTTCCCGTCACAATTAAAAAGTGATTGTTGCTTGACGTCAGAGGTTATTCAGAGCAGATCTAAGGTCATTCAGAAACAAAATTCAATTAAATACCAAAAGTGTGAATACGTTTATTGTCTCAAGTCTGGAGAAATAGTGAATAAATTGAAGTGAGTGTCAAAGACTTTTCTTAAGGTGGTACCAAACACCTTGACTAAAATTAATTTGGCTCGTTTAATTTTCACAAAATTTTGACAAAATATTTACTTTGACCCTAAGACAAAATATAAAAATTTCAAAAAACTTGAACCACACACTTTATTGGAAAAATTTCATTGAATATACAAATGTATACAGTTTGACAAACACTAATTTTGATCATTGAGAAGCTTAATATTTCCTTAACAATAGAACATGATTAAAACATTCAGCTGATTTTTACAGAGTTATCTCCCTGTAGTGTTATGTACCACCTTAAGGTGCTGTAATATCAGATATTTCTGCCAGGATTTCTTCATTCAATTGTTGAACAACAGACATAAAATTGGAGATAAATTATTATATTTTAAAATTTATGCAAATAATGCTATCAATTTTTAAAAGACTGAAAGTTTTTATTTTTTGCAAAAGCAATATATTTTTGTAAAAAAAAACATTGCAAAAATTTCCCAATTTTAGTTTGACAATAGACAACCACTGAAAAGAAATAAATAATGTTTCTGTCAGATAAATCTGTTCATTATATTATATCTCTTTCAGATCAGTCTACTCCAAGTCCAACCAAAGTAGCAGCCACATTCAAGTTTGACTTTACAGATCTGTATAATAGTTTGTGTTCGTCATTACGAGATGACCAGACGACGTTACTGTTGTATTTATTGATACATCAGAATGCTTCCATGAAGGCTTTCATATTGTCTAGAACAAATATTGATCAATTAGTAAGTTGATTTCATTTTCTGGTACATTTTTCCATTATAGTTGAGTCAGATAGATTTTTCTAACTTGTTTTTTCTTGCCGGGGACAAAAGTGTTTCTGGCATCTGGAATTCCAACAAGTAATGTAAATATAAAAATAAGACGATGTGGTATGAGTGACAAAGAGTCAACTATCCACCAGAGACCAAATGACAGATTTAAGCAATGGATGTTTTAACACTGGTATGACAATTTGTCTGCCATTACATAAAGTCAAACAACTTCCGCCTAAAATTTTGTGTCACAATTTTAAAAAATATGGCGTAGTGATTAAAAAGTGATTGTTCCATGAAGCCAGAAGGTTATTAAGAGACAGATCTAGCATCATTCTAAGCAAGTTCAGCTAAATACCCCAAAATTTAAATACATCTATTATAGGTTGCTGTACGCCGTTCAAGTAAAGTTAAGTTATACATGTAGATTATTACACTAGATTCATTTAAATACTGTGATATCACAGTAAAATGAAAACTATTTTCACAAGTGAAAGGAATCATGTACTTTCAATCCACTGATGTCATACAACATGTACAACATTAGGTGTTCGTGTCAAGACGTTGTCAATGACATGTCATCCAAACAAAGTGAGAATTCATAGATAAAGATATCGTTTCTTGCATTTTCTTCTTTGTTCACTTCGAAAGTCAAATGTGCTAAAAAGAATAACTAATCCAACAGTTCAAATATAAAAAAAATATATTCAACTCTTGACTGAACAACAGGGATATCTAATGTGCCTCCCATGTCCCCATGCATTTTATTCTGAAACATCTCTTGCATATAAATCCTTGATTTTTAAAAAATTGTAGAAAAACAGCAGCAATTATTATGCTATATACAATTTGAAGGAAAATACATAGTTTGTTTACATACTGAAAGAGTAAAAATCAACAAAAACTAAACTCGTAGAATTTAAGTGATATCATTTTTTAGCAATTGTCCTTTTATTGCAGGTGATGCCGATCCTCAAGATATTATACCATGCCCAGGACAGAAACTCACATCACATTTACATGGCTTTAATAATACTACTGGTTCTTAGTGAGGATGAAGTCTTCAACAAAGCTGTTCATGAAATTGTAAGCAAATGGTAGTATTTTATATATATATATATATATATATAGAACTCATACATGTTAAAGTAAACTGATTAGGACACTTTAAATAGATGTTTGTGAATTGTCAGAATCATTCATTATATTTTCTTAATTTCAGTTTGTAATGAAAATGGCAGTATATAAAATACATGCATTTTTCAGACAACCATTTGTGTTTATCAAAGATATTTATATATAATCGATGGTTTTTCAAACGAGAGGTTGTTTCTTTGCTACAATCTTATCGAAGAGCGAAACCCTGAGATGAGATGTGGCTGAGAAACATCTTCGAGTTTGAAAGACCATTGATAATCTATTTATCGCTATTTTGCCTATGACGTTGTTGATGTTTACATTGACAACGTCACGTGCCCCCTTAGTTTTTGATGATAATTTTCTATCTCAAGCAAGTAGTGTGATATGAATAATTATCACAAAAAAAGATCAAAGGAAAAATATGCAAAATAGCGATAATTAAATTATATCATCAAAACTAAATGTTCCCGCCTGACTATAATTTTTGTAACACTGAATAGATGCAAAGGGAGACAACAATATCAAAAATTGAAGTAGGTATATCCGAAACCAATGATGATGGAAAGGTCAACGGAATAATATTGTTTTTCTCAATTATTACCCAGCTAAACCAAAAAGAATTATCATTAGGGAGGATAACAAAATACAGTTTACATTTCACCTTTAGGTTAGAGAGCCATATATTAATTGATTTGATCTGAAATATGGAGATGCAATGCACAAAAAAAAGGTCTTCTCATATAGCATTTTAGAAGGCTATTCCATTAAAATAAATGAGGGAGAGTAAATAGAATGATTTATTTTTGTACATGGGTAGTGAAAAACCGACATGTAAAATAATAGCTGGTCAAAGGTTAGACAAGATTGAATATTTAAGACAACTTAATTATATATGTGGTATATTTCTTTAGTAAATACAGGTTTATAATATGTGGATTTTTGTTTACATTAAAGATATTACGAGATATCCCCTGGTTTAAAGATAGACATCTGACAGAGATTTCACTTGGTGGATTGTTGATTGTTGTGGTTATCCGAACAATACAGTATAATTTAACAAGGATGAGGGTAAGTTGAGAGTTGCAGAGACGACCTAGAATTATGAATAACTGCACTGTTTTAAAGCTGTGGATTTTAATTTCACATATGAATTTTTTTGGTGCTGCTGAGTCAGGAAAATAGATATTAGAGATTTTTTAGCACAATACTGATAATTGTATTCTTATGCAAAACTTGAATAAGTAATTTTTTGGGGGGAGATCATTCAAATGTATTAATCAGACATGTCAATGTATTTATTTGTATTTTGTAGGATAAGTACCTGCATACTAATTGTCTGGCAGCATTAGCCAACATGTCTGCTCAGTTCACAAATCTCCATCCATATGTTTCACAGAGACTTATTAAGTAAGTTGACAAATTTTGAGCGTAGGATATAACTGCTGTAGAATGTTTTTGACTGGGCAAACAAGACACATGTTAATCGGGCATAATCTTGCCAGCAAAACGATGATTTAAATTGCGAAAAAATCTGGCAGGCACACTTCATAGTGATGTTATGCCACCATCAAAATCAATATAAGGGAGACAACTTGTGATTAACAAGTCACACATACAAACAAAAATGGTGATTGACAAGGAAACTCAAGATTTTCAACGACTATTGCAGGGGTTTATCTAGGTATTTTGGGAAAAAGGACCCTGGCCAGTTTTGGGAATTTTTTAACGCGGTTTTCAGTGAAATTGGGAAAACAACCTATATACCAAATGCTAATTTTAGTGTGTTTAGTTCAATAATTTTTTTCTTTTTTGGTGAACATGGTGAAAATAAAGTAAGAAACTACATGAATGCTATTAATAATTCAATTTTCTGTTCTGTTTTTTGGTGAAAAAGACAAGTATTGTCACATTTTATTTTATTTTTACATGAAAATTTGTGAACTAAAATATTTTTCTGTATAAAATATATCCTGTTTCTTTTTTCTTTTTTTTTATATACATTTTTTAGTTTTCAATTTCAGGGTTGTTATTTCATAGCTGTCACATGCTTGAATTTTTTTTAATTTATTTATTTCAAGGATTTGTATATTTAGAACTATACAAATAATTTTTTTTGTTTATTAATTGTATTTTATCTGCAAACCCGGAATTATAGCCTTATCCGTTTCCCGAATTTGATCTGGTTTTGTAATTTTCTTCACTTCCTGTGTTTTGGCAGCCATTGTTTGTCAATGTTGTTTTTTGTCAGTCATTATGTTTCAACTGGGATTTACACATTACTTGTTGGCAATTTTTGGCATAAAACTAGCGGTTGAACATAATAAACATCTCTGTCTTGAATAATAAAGATGAAAATGAGTTTTGTAATCAATTGGGAATTTTTCCCCCAAAATTGGGAAAAATGTAGGGGTTTTGCCGTTGGGAATGGGTCCGAATACCGGACCCTGTGGAATGCTAGAAAAATCCATGTATTGTTGTACAAACAATATGTTTACATTTTTATTCATACACACCATATTTTTGTTTCAGTTTATTTGCTTTGCTAGGCAAGAAGCACAATAAGGTGATTGACATGATCCGAGACGCTGCACTGGAGGATACAGAAGATCACGGTAAAGATTCTGATCAGGAATCTGAACCAGATCATGTAAGCAATGTTTCATAAAAGATATGTAGGCTTTTAGAAAATATTTATTTGACCAGGTTATGAATATGATATTTGGATGATTATTTTTCATATTTTTAAAGCTGAAAACACTGCTCACTATATTAATCATTGTAAAAGCAGAAATGTATTTTGGGGTTTCAATTTTGTTTATTTCGGGGATATATGTTATCCACAAAATAAGAATCCAAAGAAAATTTTAACATACAAAGAATATTTCTCATTGAACTGGCAAACGCTGGAAACCACAAAAAATATGTCCCAATGAAATTAAATTTAGAGACAATACCACAACATTTTAACCACTTGAAAATAAATTTATCTATGTATAAGATACAGTTGCTATCGGGTAAGTCTTTATGCTATAAGCGTATCAATTGTGTTGTTTTTTATCAGCTTAAGTGAAATGTATGTACTTCATGCAAGCAACAATCAAACAATCTGCAATTCAATAAAAAAAATTTTTTTAATGATTTTATCAACTGAAAAAAAATCTGTCAAATAGATTGATTATTGATATATATTGTAAATTCAGAAATTATTGCAATGGCATATTAATGAGAAAAATGTGGCAGTATCAGGTCTACACTAATAAAAAGGGGGCATTCATAATTTCAGAAATGCTATCCTTCATAAAATTTTTGCAATTGCAGCAATTAGATCTTGCATTTTTACCAGTCATTGGCAATAATATATGCATGCATTAATTTCTGAATTAACATAATATGGTAATAAATACATTACATGTATATTTCACGAGAATCTGTTTGATTAGCTAAAAACAACTGTGCATTATTCAAAAATTAACCTTCATATCAAAATGAAATGTTACATTCCTGATGACACGTGCTTCCACAAAAAAGTGCACAGATAAATAAAAGAAAAACTTGATAAAAGTCTTTTTTCATGGTCTTATTAGCATAAAAATATAATTATAAGAAATGATGCACACATATTTAGAATGAAGTGATCCACGCTTCATACCAAATGTGCTTCAGTCAGCACTTTTACACCCCAGTAAAATTACAAAAAGAAGCCTTCTTTTCTTAAATAATATTGTATTTATTTCTTCACATTTCCCTTTCAGATGCAAGATCTTGCTGTGTTAGAAGAAGTTATTCGAATGGTTTTGGAGATTGTAAACAGTTGTTTAACGAACAATATACATCATAATCCTAACCTTGTATATACATTATTATATCAAAAAGACATTTTTTCTCAATTCAGAACACATCCAACATTTCAGGATTTAATACAAAATCTTGATACAGTAAGTAGTAAAAATAATAATAATAATTCTTTATTTAAAGAGTGTTTCACAGTAAGCTATAAAACTAATATTCCTGAGTCCCTCATGAAATGCAATGAAAAATAACAAACAAAGAATTACAAAACAATCAAACACACACATAAAAAAAAATAAGAAATTTTTTATGAAATATACAATTTTCAAAACAGGTAAAATGATGAATTCATATAGTATTGGCATCATTCAAATTATCTCAACAATATTTGAAGTTTGAAGTAAGTGTGTGAAAAATTATTATGCATATAAAATTACACAGCTTCTTAATGTTCCAACAAGTAATTTTCGAAATCATTTTTGAATGAGCTTGTACTTGAGTGATTTTTTCAGGGATATTGGTAACTTATTCCTTAAAATAGATCCTGAATATATAAAAGATTTCTTACAGTAGTACTATCATTTAGAAGGAAGTTTGTTGCATGGATATTTTGGAATACAACAGGGCATTTTCCAATTACCAACCTTGTTTCCAAATTTAGAAAGTTGAGTCAACTGAAACAATTAATGAATAGGACAAACTATATCCCTGTCTATACAGAGCTAGTGGTATGAGCATGGTGTATTGTGTGGGATCTGACATAATTTTTAATTAAGTTCATTACATATTTACCGTAAAAATATATGAGAAATTTGTGATTATAAAATGTAAATTTATAACTGTTTTATTCATCAAAACTTCCATAAATTAATATAGACAGGAAAACAGTTTGTCGTACCTAGGAGATGGTTTCATCGTAAAAAATTGTAAAATTTGAATCCAAAAGTTGTTAAGTCTTTTATTCAAGCTTTTTTATGCCCACACCATTCTCGAGTTATTTATATAAAGAAATTGTTTAATATGCTCATTGATATTTTATGTATATGTTTTAGGTGTTGTGTTACTATTCAACAAAACTTGAACAACATGGATCAAATATGTCACCAAAGGAAGTGTTAGAAGTTATCATTGAGTCTTCTAAAACATTTAGAAGGGACAGATTAAAAGTAAGAATAATTTATTATAGATGTCCATTTTCATTTGCTTATAACTAAAAGAGAGGTGAAAGATACCAAAGAGACATTCAAACTCACAAGTCGAAAATAAACTGACAATGCCATGGCTAAAAAAGAAAAAGACAAACAGACAAACAATAGTACACAAAACACAACATAGAAAACTAAATACTGCGCAAAACTAACCCCACCAAAAATTTGGGGTGATCTCGGGGGGTAAATACTGGAAACGTTATTTGACCTAAAAATTTCAAAAAAGGTTAGATATTGAGACAGGCCTGTGTTATTTCAAAATATTTTTGAGAAGCTTTACAATTCATGGGTTTTTAGAAAAAAAATAGACTACATGTAGATTTAGGCGAGAATAAACACACATAAGATCATAATTGATCTAATAATATTTAAATATCTGTATTCATTTAGATATTTAAGTTGCATTCAATGTTTAGTTGTATTTTATTTCAATATGATATGGTACTTTGGATTTATTTATTTTCATGGGTACCAATTTTTGTGGATGGAGGAAAACTTCCATTTTCGTGTATATATGATTTCATGGTTTTGCTTTAGTCAGCATATATTTATATGGAACATTTGTAATGCTTAGAACATTTAAGATCGTGATTTCCCTGTACTCAAGGAATCCAAGAAAATTGGTATCCAACGAATGATTATGAATCCACAGTATCCAATTAACTTAGATTTCTAATGGCTAATTCAGAAATATATTGGTAGAATATTTTTGTCTTCTTTATAATGAATCAATATGACAGATTCATTGTAAACAGAAATGAACACACTTTTTGATATTGTCTATATCTACATTTGATTAATATTATGTTAGTATTCTTTTTGTCTAGCCTGCTACTTTTGTTGCAAAAGCGAGACATAGCGATCCTACATTCCGTCGGCAGGAGCGGCGTCCACAAATACTCACTCTGTGGTTAAAGTTTTTGAAATTTTAATAACTTTCTTAAACTATCCTGGATTTCTACCAAACTTGGACAGAAGCTTGTTTATGATCATAAGATAGTATCCAGAAGTAAATTTTGTAAAAAAAAAATCTTGTTTTTCCGTATTTTACTTATAAATGGACTTAGTTTTTCTGCCAGTTAACATTACATTCACTCTATAGTTAAAGTTTTAAAAATTTTAATGACTTTCCTAAACTATCCTGGATTTGTACCAAACTTGGACAGAAGCTTGTTTATGATCAAAAGCTAGTATCTAGAAGGAAATTTTGTAAAAATTTATTTCCTGTTTTCCAAATATTAATTATAAATGGACTTAGTGGTTCTTCCAGTTAACATTACATACAGTCTGCAGTTAAAGTTTTTAAAACATTTATTAGATTCATAAACCATCCTGGATTTTACCAAACTTGGACAGAAGCTTCTTACAATCAAAAGATAGTATCTAGAGGAAAATTTTTAATAATTTTTTCCCCATTTTTGTTGACATAGCGATCCTACATTCCGTCATCGTCTGAATTAAGGGATAAATCATCAGACAATGTAAAAATTATCTTCTTTATCATTTGTTCATTCAATAAATTTATGTTTCAACTCTTTTATAAATCTATAGATTTGATTGCATACTGTATTCAATTTTACAAGCATAACTTTTTTCATACATTTTATTTCATTAACTGTAAATCTATTTGTGCAATCCCCTATCACACTGAAAACATAGGTAACAGCAAAAGTAGGCACGACACTGGGTTCCGCGGAACCCTTACGAATTATTTTAAATGCTTAGTAAAAGTGGTTAGATATGTCTTTTCTAAGATTAATAAGAATTTTCATTATCTCAAGAACTGTCTCGGTGGTCTCATTTTCACTTAGAGAGTGGGTGGTCATGGGTTCTTATCCTGGCTGGGTCAAACCAAAGAGTTTCAAATTGGTATTTGCTGCCTCCACACTAATAAAACAGCATTAAAGAGTAAGACTGGTCTTCTAGCAGTCAGAATAATGTGTCAGGGTAGGGTGACATGGACAATTTACCTTGTAAACTAGTACATTCACAAATCTGGCTCTAGTACAAAGCAGGGTTAGTTTTTATATTACATTAACATGTTTCGTCCTGAATATGCATTTAATTTGCTGCTAGGCATTAAACAGCCATCCATTATCATCAACATTATCTGAAGATTTAGAATGTAAAATTCAGTTGTTTATCAGGGCTGTTCCATAAAAACATACATGGGACCCAGGGAAGACACTTCCAAATCGCAACTATGGGTGGGTGTCATAGATAGATATAAGAAGATGTGGTATGAGTGCCAATGAGACAACTCTCCATCCAAGTCAAAATTTATTAATTTAAACCATTATAGGTCAAAGTATGGTCTTCAAAACGGAGCCTTGGCTCACACCAAATAGCAAGCTATAAAGGGCCCCAAAAATCTATGTTTTTTGCATAGTGGAAATGTAAGTGAAATTTTAATTTGCCTCTATAGGTGGTTACCTCATTTTTAAAGTGCTTTCTCTGGGTACCATGTGTGTTTTAATGGAACAGCCCTCATGTTTATTGATTAGAATATTTGTAAATTTGTTTATAATTCTTTAATAAAATTATTTTCTACTTTCAGAAATTTCCTGACCTGAAGTTTAAGTATGTAGAAGAAGACTCTCCTGAAGAATTTTTTATTCCCTATATCTGGTCATTAGTGTACCATTCATCAAACATGTACTTTAATGCTGCAAGAATTGTATTGTTCTCATTGTCTAGTTCCTGACAAGCAATAAGATCTGTTGATCAGGTTTTAGTTCTTAATGTTCCCGGCTGCAAGCTAGAGATAACACAATGTGGGGACAATGTACAAATATCCCTGGATCTGCCCTTCTTATAAATACAGATTTTATAGAATTTTCTAATATCTATCAGCTGATGGTCAGTCGACATTGAAGATGAGAACTGCTTTTCATTGTTGTACAAGTAATTCCCCTTGGTAAATTAATAAATTTGACCTCAAATGGACAATGAATTTGGTTCCTTTATTTTTGATACGGAAAAATCATAAATTGTTTAGGTAGTATTATCCAAAAGCCACAAGTTTGTTTAAATTTTTTGTTTGTAACAAGAAGGTGAAAAAATATATTTTCAGCTATGTTCAACAGTAAACTGATTGTTATAGTTTTCAAGTTGATAAAATTCTATGCTTGCACTTTCCCTTTTTAATTAACTGAATTTTCATTGGCACCATAAACACATACATGTCTTCAGAACCATGATAATTTAAAGTCATCTTTTGGTTATATAATCAGCACATTGCATTTAGTTGGAATCATTTTTAGTTACTTTTTCATATTTTTTTATGTTGCTTCAAATAACCATACCATTGCTAAAATGTGTTGTGTATTATCGCAATTTTCTTTAAAAAGAGCATAACAGTGATGTTATTTATAGAACTTGTTAATTACGATAGTATTGATGTAAAGTTATTGGTCTTTTGAATAAACTCATTCATTAAGGTTATCAATTCATCAAAGTAAGATCTTTGAATATTATTTCAATTGTCTTTAAAGGTTCATATATTGATTTTACACATAACTGAAATTGTATTGATATGAAGTTAATATCAACACTCATGGTTTTAAATTCTGTTGATACTTATATTGTTGCATTGCATATGATCATGCTTTTTTCTGACTGCTTATAATGTTTTAAATCTAAATCCATTGGAGATGTTCTAATTGATACTTTAGACTTTGAAAGTATGATATATTTATCAGTTGAAATTGGGCTTTGTATTAGAATGTATTTGATATAGTCGGGAACCTGAAATCTATTTCTGTTAATTCGTAAATTTTTGTGTGCATTTATTATTTGCAATAGTTTGACAATAGAGGAATGTGCAAGATTAATTATTGCTATTTCAAGAAATTCAGCATTTAAATAATGACAAATGCAAGGTTGTTTTTTTTAAAAACCTATCCTGTGGTAATTTTTGCAATAATAACAGCATTGCAAAAATTTCTGAATTTACAGTATTTCTATGTAAGTACTCCTGTTCTTGCATTGTGCTCCATTCAAGAGTATTATGTTATGTTCCAATCCCACCAATTATTATATGCCATGAGCAAAATTTTAAATTTTACTTCCTTCTTTTGTTGTCTCCCTTGTGAGGAAATGTGTTGAAACCAGACTTAGGTATGCTGTTTCAGGTATCAGGGACAATTGTTAAAGTTTGTGATAAGGGTACACAAGCAAGACATAGCTATTTATGGAAATTGTTGTTAAATGATGATACAAAACTAACACCTCTATATTTTGTTCATATCTAATTTAAGTATTTATTATCCACTCTTGATTGTTTTTATCTACTAATTTTACTTATGAAATTCAAATGGCTGGATTAGATGAAAATGGTAATCATTGGGTTATTGTGGTAAATTTTATATTCCCTTGCAAAAAGGATTAATTTTTTATGAAGATCGAAGATATTGATCGGTTTCGATATGACGTAATTTGAGGTTCAGTTATTTCCTTTGGCTACCATTTTGGAGGGGAAATGGCTGATTTTCTTATTTGACTAACCAAATTGAAACATTCGATACAAACAAGTCTGATAACAAAATCCTTACTAGATCGTAGTTATGAATCAAGCAAGGCTAAAAGAAATTAAAATTGTTTAGAACATGACTTTTTCTAAAGCCTAGCAGTAAGTATATCAAGTTGAATTTGTGCACGTAGACCTTTAAAATGGTGACACAAGGGAAGTAACCCTTGTTCAAATTGTGGCAATTGAAACATCTATTGTGGGCCTTGAATGTTATTGGTTTGCTTTCAGTATAGATTTGTAAGTATTTGAAGTTTCAGATCTGGAAGTACTTCATGTTGTGGAAGAATTGTAGTTTTTTAATTCTCTTTGTTTATTTGTTTTGTTATGGAAAGCATGTAATGCATTCTCTTGCAAGATGAATTTTCTCTGAAATTACTGAAAGAAAACAGAAACAAGTCCACCCCTTGCAGTTTCCCTAGGTACTGTTCTTTTATCATAAAGGCTGTTCCATTAAACATAATGGGATCCAGGGAAGGCACTTGAAAATAATTCATTAAGAATTTAAAGTTTATTTTAAGACGGCATATATATACACAATGACAAAGAAAACATGAGCTCTGATGAGCAGCTATGTATGGGTGTCCAAATATTTTGTTGTATTAAGAAAAAATTCGAAGTGAAATTTTATTGAATTGCTTTTTTTGTTGGGTACCCAATTGTCAAAGTCTTTTGGCATCATGTATGTTTTTATGGAATATAAGTATTAATGGGTCTGATTATTGTATGTTCTAATTGTAAATGTACCATTACTAATTTCTATAGCAAATTGTTTATGATGTATTTATGTGATAGACTGCTTAGTTTGTGATATAAATAACCATTCATACTGTCATTACAGATAGTAAATTGATGGAGTCATGTTGAGAATAATAATATATGTAATAAGTTCACATGAATATGCCGATCAAAACAACTGATAATATCTGGTCACACGGTATTTTCTTTTGCAGTAATTTTTTTGACAAGTTGTTTTTATATTCAATACTGAATAAAGAATTCAAAGTTCTTGTTGCAAACAAATTTGAATTTTATGTATAAGAACGTATCCAAAAGCCCTAGGGGATTCCAATTTTTTATTGACACAAAATGCATGAAAATGTTCTCTGTTAGTAAATGTGCCTTCACATATGTGAACAATGGGAGGCAAAGGGTACACACTTCAATGAGACAGCAACCCAGAAATACATTAAAGATATGAACATATAATTGCATTCAATATATTCTTAATTTTTCGTATTTATCAGTTTGTTTGAGACGTCAAGATATTGAAGTCATTAAACTTGATTCAGATTTTCAGTATAAAGTAATGATATATTTTAGAGTATTTGTTATTGTAAGTAATTGTAAATATGAGGTTAAATATGTATATCTGTGGTTAAATATTTATTGTTATAGTCAGTACATTGATTACAAATTGCAAAAATATGTTGATTTTGTTACTCAATTTGCATTAATTTAAAATAATTTTGATAGAGTTTGTACATAAAAATTATTTTAAATTTCTCCATGAGTATGCTTAAGTTTTTGTTTACTCTTTTTGATTAGGCTATGTAACTATATATTTTAAAGCATAAACATCTTAAAATACTGTTAAATCTTCTATTAGTGGTTCATGGTTTTGACTTTTTCCCTTCAAAATAAAAAAAACCCAAAACACTCAAATATGCTTCAAATTACTAATATGAAACAGACACCAAAGCAACCAAGGTCAAATGTCAACTACAAAGCTAAAAAAAGCAGTATTTAGTCATAGTACTGGACCAATATTATGTAGATGTCACAAATGTTCAAAGATGAACTATAGACTTAATTGTTGTTATATTGATATTCAGATTCATGGGGCTAACACATTATTTACACAAATTGTTTCTATTTAAGTTCATCATCATAGTTATTCACTGCCATTTAGGGATCAAACCTGCATTAGATACCTTCTTATCATTGTGATAATTGTGTCGCAGGCGTGGAAATTTTTTTACTGCAAATTCTGAAATTTCTTTTAAAATGTTTTTATTATTGCAAAAATCCTGATGGGATAGGTTTTGTAAAAATAAATACTTGCATTATAAATTTTCAGTATTTTTATGCATCATTCCTGATATTGTAATAATTAATCTCATATTTTTGTCATGGTTTAGGTCAATTGACATATATCCGAGATCATTAATGGTAATTATTGTTAACTTATGTAATTTGCCCCCTTACTGCTTTTTTTACAGTTCATAACTGTAGTAATTAATTTCACATTTTTGTAATGAATCAGGTCAGTTAACCTGAAATCATTCATGATAAAAGTTCTTTAACTGTAATGGATATATTTTGCCCCCTAACAGTTGTTTTCACTGATCATAACTGTCGTACAAGGAAAAAGCTGTTAGTTTTTTTTTATCATTTATGTATTTACACATTTAGGTCATACTTCTGCCTCATTTCAAAACTTTTCTGTATTGGGCTGTTATTTCATTGTCGTAAAAGGTTTTTCTTGTTATGAATTATGTTATGCTTTGTTGTAGAATATTTTGTGTTTATTAAGATATTTCTTTATAAAAATGTGAAATAAAAATTATAATTTATTTTAATGGTGACTTTGTGTTTGTTTTAATACAAATGTATGTCTACCAGTTCTATTTAATCTTGTATCTGATCGGATAGAAATCGACCTTATGCAAATGGATATTATTAGATCTGTTAACTTATAAAATCTCAATGCAAAGTCTTTAACTGTTTGAAAGTTGAGCTGATATAAGAACACTACAAAACAGACCACAATTCATCATTTATGCCATATTTGAATGTTCTAAAATCAATCAAAGTCTTGTACATGTACACGTATACAGGCACTTGCATAAGGTCAATTTCTATCTGACACAGCTCATATGTTACTCACCTTGGAAATGGAAAGGACAAATAGTAGAATACCTATTCTGCAGGTCGTACTGATTATTTAATGTAGGCAGTATACTTATAATTTGCTTAAATCTATTGATCAAAGGTCAGTTATATTTGGTATGTAGATAAGATAAGACAAATACTTGCCATCATTTTCATACTCCAGTGGTAAGAAGTTTCCAGAATTAAGTCTTCATCAACAACTTTGCCCAGGTAAGCATCTGATGATGTGAAATTATAACACTGTATGACAAGCCAAGACTCTTCATAAATTGTAAGGGGCTGACCATTTAACTTTTTGGGGGGCTTTAGTTTTTTTATGGGGACATTTTTTTTTCTTTAAAGCGGCATTTAAGCTTACGATTTCGACAAAAATATGAAAGTATTCTTTTTTTTTCAAGCATTGATAAAAATTGAATTGGGAATTATTTTCCATTTAAAGAGTTCAGTTTGATTAAACTTTGTCAAAATTAGCTCAAAAACATCACTGATGTATTATTGACTCATTATTTCAACCTAATTTGAATACGTATTCATACTACTTTCAAATTCAGCCATTTGCTGGAGATGGGTTATGCATGTGTGAATCATGTTAAGTTATTTAAAAGAAAATAATGGCAACATTGAAAGGTGAAACAAGGGAGCTAATGGGAAAACCCATATTTGACCAATACGGCCAACAAAAAAAACCAATTTTTTCATACAGGTAAAATGATGAGTTATATATTTTTTTTGTAATTTATAACATGAAATCAAATAGAAATAGAAAAATCGTATGATGGCACGTGCATGTCTGTATATTGATATTTATGTTTATATCAGTTCATTTGATGATCAGCATTCTTTGGAGGTCATCTTAATGCTTTATTAGATGCCATTTATACTAAAATAAGCACGAAATGCCGATACATTATAATCCATGTATTATTAATTGTTTATTTTGGACTCTTTGTAATTTGGATCAATATTTTGGTATGTTGTAAATCAAATGATTTTTTTTAAGCAATTCAGAATAAAAAAAACAACATGCGAACATCGGCTCAATCGTGACAATAAAAGTCAGTTACATGAAACCAATCCAGTAGAAAGGAAAATAAAATTTGGTGGTGAGTAATGTTTGTTTTTCGTTTGAATTGTTTCACATGTGTCCTTTCGAGGACTGTTGCTCATTGTTGAAGGCCGTATTATGAGCTATAGTTTATAGTGTTAATTTCTATGTCATTTGGTCTCTGCCACATCGTTTTATATTTATATTGGGTATACATTATCAAACAGTTTGGTAAACAGTTCCGACAAGCTTGAGTGAACAAGTGTTCTGGTGTGATTTGTTATCTAACATATCTTTTCATCACAATATGGGATATTGCTGCAAAGGATATTTCACAGAATGCTAGGTTATTTTTAGCCCCAAAATATATGATTAATCTTTGTATGATATTTATTACTTTGCGAAAAAGAAATTATTGATTTGTAAGTTAATATTAAAAATAGCTAGATAATTAAGTGTAATACAGTTCCTATATGTACCAACTGAGAAATAAAAACTTAATAAGGGAGAACCAACAGTATATTACCACCAAAGAAAAGGAAGTTAACTATGAGGAATGACAATTATTCCTAATGTAAAAAATATGTTACATGATTGTCTGAATAGGGATACATGTTGTGCAAGTCCTGAATATCCTGAATATGTTTCCTGCTAGACATTTTAAACCGACCAATCAAAAGTGGTCTATGCAAGGTAACTTCCTGAAAATAAAAACATAATGAAGGATATTGTGATCATATAAAATTACCAGACGCCCAAGGCCTTCCATTCGAAATACAAAAACTATTTATAAAAGTGCTATATGGATATATATTGACGATATATTATCCCAGAGACGCAAATAACGGTAACAAATATCGAGTTCAACACACAGTCTTCTATATTTGACACTGAAGTGTCTATACAATACGTTCTACTCTAAATAGCTCCGAGTCAATATATATAATAAGTTGTTAATGAAAGTATCCGCCTTCAACATCTTGTTATACAATAAAAAAAAACATTAGAAAATAAGCAATACCAGTACATGTTTTATTTGTAACTCCAATATAAAAGTAAGGAAATGCTAAAAATAAGGATAAGCGTACTAGTGTTTTGAGGCCTTTAAATAAAATGTTTTCTTTCAATAGATGCGCAGTTCGGGGAGCATCAGTTGGCAGTGTCGGCTAACTGTTGTCTAGATGAGCTAATTAGAACCAAACATTGCCTTTGGTGGTCATGTTTTTCGTCAAATCTCTAAAAATGATGACTCTTTGCGTGGAATATCTTCTATACGCAATTCCTACAGTCTGTTGAAATTTGATAGTTTTAGAGATGCAGATTTTATTTTCCTTTCACATGATCAACATTAGATGAAGATCGTTTATATGTGTCCTCAAATTATCAATCACTTTTAGTTCTTAATAGTTCGTCTGTTATTCGGGGAAGTATGAAATTTTGCAATTAGAACTAAAGAATGATCTGGTTTCCATGTTTTTCAAAAGATAGAATCAAAATGCTTCCAAACATTCTTCCTGGCAATTTCGCTAAAATTTGCAATGTAGTTTTAGAAAAAGACCTAATCATTGAAACTGGAATGCAGGAGCATGAAAATAGATGACATATACTAATTGATTTTTATTCTGGGAAAATTAGATTATTGGTGGAAATTGTGCTTTGAATTGACTTTTAGTCACGGTGAATGAACAGCGAGGTACTTTGTTTCTTTTGGCTTTTTGTTGGGTGTTCTTAGGATAAGAGCCATATCTAATTAGGATTAGGAGTATAAGGGGTGGGGTTTCAATACTCAACACACATGTTTAACCGCATCATATTACTTAGGCTTGTCTCAAGCCTGGAGCATGTAATTTAGTTGTTGTTTGTTGCTGACAGTTATACTTGTAGTTCGTTTTAGGTATAAATCGTTTTTTTTGCTCCCTTTTTTTAGCCCTGTTCAAAAATCTATTAGGTTTCGTACAACTTGCTTCTTATCGATGTTTGATCAACTACGTTTATATCCCTTTTAACTTCTATGACGACACAAAGGATTTTCTACACCAGGAATATTCTACATTACTTTGGCAAAACCGGAATTTTGTGTCCTCAAAGCTCTTCAACCTAGCACTTTATTTGGCATTTTAACTTTTTCGATTCGAACTTCACTAACTAGTTTTTTTAAGGACAAAACGCGTGTATGGCAAACAAAACTTTAAGTATTTTTAATGAATTATTTTATATTTGATGTATATGAAACTTTTAAAAGAATCCATACAAAACCGCACCTCGACAAACGAGGGTCACAAGATCACAGAAGAGTAAACAAGTTTTGTATAGAAAAGGTATATTTAGTCCATCATATAACATATCTGCAAGACGGAGAGAGCAAACAAGCGTTACAAGAAACAAAGCAAATAAGACAAAAAAAAAAAAACAAGGAAAAGCAATTATAAATGTACAGCATATATTTTTATATCAAATCTCTTAAACGTGACACGTGGTACAAATTTAAAGATAAGTTGATATTGTAGTGATAAAACTCTTACTAGTAAATGAATAAAACCAGAAAGCTACAAATCCCCATAATAGTAAGGAATACAGGATCGAAAATCAACTATGAAATTTCATCAAATAATTATTTAACGTATAAGCAAGGCACCGTGATATATATTTATTACCTTATATACAAAGAATGCAACAATACATTTGATTGTTAATTTCGCATGTGTACAGTTTTGTTTTTAAATCTCGTTGCCGACGAGTTTTTGTTTTTGTTTTGTCTCGTGCTTTGTTTTGATGTGTATCTTTCTAGTTATTTTATGAATAAAAAGGAGCTGTAGGCTATAGTAAATGAAAAACACAAAAAAGCCCAAAAGATATCTAGAGGTCAAAATGTGTTCTTCAACACAAAAAGTGCCTATAGAAATGGTTTAGTACAGATTGAAGACCGTATGCTAAACCCTACATGTCTTATTTTGTTGGATTGCTGTCTCATCAATGAATATTTACTAAGAGATATGTCAATATATTAATAGTTTCATGTCTTGTCCAGCTCTTACTTGCCCCAAAATTTAACAGAATTTTTAACTAACTTAACATACATCATAGATCTGTCTTCTACATAAAATTTCTCAGGTGAATAAAAAGTCAAGGAGATATAACCTCAAACATCCACTTAAAAGTTTCAATACGTTGAACAATGAAATTAGTTTGTGAATGGTTTCAACTAGTTGTTGAGATCCCAATCTTAAGTCTTTTAAATGAGATCATTGGAGTAATAGAAGTGTAACATTTATAATACAGCATACAATAAGTTTGTACAGAGATAGAAATTAACTCTTTTACACAGGTAGGATAAAAAATACAAATAAACGCACACACAAAATATTAATTAACAAAGAACGCTCGCATTTAATAAATGATATCCTACCATCTTACACTATAATATCATCGGTTGTTCTTCATAATAGAGTCGTAAAACAACGTCATAAAAAGCAGAAAAACACAGAGTTGAGCTATACCCGACGTAAATAGGAAAAACGGAGAGATGTCTTTTTTTTAATATGAAAATTCAGCCGCTTTAAATATTTTTGCACGCGTTTAAATCATTAGATAAATCAAGAGTTGCGTAGCAGAGTAGAAGTGACCACATGACTGATTGTTGGAGTTTACAGCAGAGCAATACAACTTCGATCAACGGATTTAACTTCCAATGTTATTAATACAATTATATATTAACTGACTGAGCAAAGACAGGATTAAACGAAAATCACAATTGTTAAAGTCATTATTATACATTCATAAAATGTGAAACAGAAATCCATGCACAGTCTGTAATGTATACTTAGAATAGTTTTAAATGTTAGTTTGAACTTATCGTGTTTTCCTTCAAAGCAAATCCGGTATGAAGTCATGATTATATTATTACAACTTCGCCTGGCCTTGACAATGTTGACTGCACGTGGTTTGTTTCCGAATGAAACTGGTTAGAACTAGAATAAGTTAAATCATCATCTATTACAAATTAAGCGAACATGCACAACAATCAAACATGTGTGGACGTATAGAACGATTAATATAAAATAAGGAGATGTAGTATGATTGCGAAATAGTCAATTATTCATTAAACACTAAATGATCAGGGTACAAACAACTACAGGTTTCCGTACAGTCTTTAAAAATCGTCCGTAAAGTAAGCTGTTAAAGGCCTTAGGATTACAAAATGTGAAACACTTTAAAAAAAAGCGGGTAGCATGCATGATATTGTGGGGTTAAACATGTCGGCAAGCTTAAACTTAATTGAATTGTAGCGGGGAGCATGCATGACATTATGGGGTTAAACATGTCGGCGAGCCTAAAGTTAATTGGGTTGGAACGGGGAGCATGCATGATATTGTGGGGTTAAACATGTCAGGCAGCCTAAACTTAATTGAGTTGGGGCGGGGAGCATGCATGATATTGTGGGGTTAAACATGTCGGCAAGCCTAAACTTAATTGAGTTGGATTCCTTTGTCCTAAGATTTGAAAACATGCATATTTTGGTCACTGTTAAGATGTCCTACCTAGTAGCATCTTACAAACTTGGTACGCTATATTCATTACAGGGATATGTTAATTGTCCGGTGGAAAAAATACATACATGAGGATCTGGATGGGGTTACCATAAGAAATAATAATGTGCCAAATAAAGAAAGAATAGGAAACAATTGACAAACAAAAATAAGAAATATATAATATAAGGACGCTTCAATATAGAGAATAGAGAACAATGGGCTCAAAATATGACGAAACAGAGCATAAACGCCAGAAACATAAAACATAGATAATAAATCGACAGTATTTGAGAGATGCCAATAAACCAGAAATACGGAAAAAAGAATTTTTATTGAATTATTGAGTCCATAATATCTATAGTTTTATTGTTATTACGAACATTGTTTTTTCCCGTGAAATTAGGAACGTATACTTTAGAAGTTAAAAGGAGAAGGAAAGGGGGAATTGAGATCTCAAATTGTTTTTAAATCCGCCAATCTGACAAGTGGTTGTTGTTCGTCAATATTCATATGTTTTTTGGTTATTGGAGAAATTGGTGCCGATGGCAGATAGATGTTTTTTAATCTGTTTATTTATAACTTGATATAGACTCTGAGCGATTTATAGCGTGACATTTATGGAGCAGGATTTGCTTACCTTTTCGAATCACTTGAGACCACCACCGATTTGTGTTATGGTTAGTGTTGCTCAGTCTTTCGTTTTTTTCTATGTTGTGTTTTGTTTCCGGGTGTTTTTAATTGTTTTTCTTTTCTTGTTATAGAGTTTTTAGTTTGTGATCAACTTATGAGTTTGGATATTCTATGGCATCTTACGCCTCTTGTTTGTATATATATTTGTCAAATGTTGAAGACTGTATATTGACTTCGAGAAATTTTGACAAGGATTCATTGATTTCCTTAGATTTAACTTCCCTTTTCTTAATGGTAATGTACCATTGAATCTCTTTTATGGAGTTTCTTTTCCTTAGTTGGTTTACGTATTGACTGTTTTAAAGTGCACTTAAATATCTTAATATTCTTGTCATTAACTTACAAATCAAGACTTTCTTTTCTCACCAAGCAATCAATTAACTTCAATAGTTCTATCATAGATTTTAGGACTGAATAAAATCTATCATACTGTAGTATGGCATTTTACATCAATACCCAAAATTGTCATTAAAAGCTATATTAAATAACAAAACATTTCAAAACGCTCGTACTTTCGATCTTGTTGGAATTGTGCACCTCACCGTTTGACGATGTTTTGACAACGTATTATTCTATTTGGCTAAAAACACTAATTTTGACAAATCGCATTGTTATATTGATATTGAGTAATTTTTACAGCTTGTAATTTTCATTATTCAAAAATATCATAGAAAATCTCTTCGCTGAAGTTTTATCACTTTTAGGTTTAGATCTTTTGCCCTATAACAGCTTATCAAATCATACAGAGCAATCACATGACCGGTCTAGAAGTTCACGACCTCTACATAAAGAAATAAACACGGACACTTCACTTGTCATTATTCCTGTAAAGGTGTGCACACGTTGTTGCATGTGGTATTATATAGATTTGGTGTAAATGTCGTCGCAATAGAGCCGATGTGCTAGTTGTGTTTGTAACTTCTGTATAATTATGCGCTAGTGATATAGATGTGAAGGGTTAAAAATTTGAAACCACCAAATGGCAGAATCATGAGGTTGCGACGTAAAGAGCGTGCGCCCCTCTTCACCAAACACCAATAAGATTTTGGTATATAAAAAAATATATTTGACTGTGCTGCTCTTGGCATTTTTTTTAACATTATGGAAAATAACGCCCCCCTTTTCATCAAACGTACTTGCTGGCTCATGTGTATCTGTCTATCTCTTATAACATGTTGTCACTGCATGTTTTCCATCTTTTGTAATTCAAGTTTCATCAAATATATTTCATGTCTGCTTATAAATCATTACAATTTAATAAAATCTTAGATAGTCTCTCGATGTGGAAGCATGGTCATCGTTTTGTATCGAAAGGTAACATTCAAATACCTAGTTTAGTGTCGTAGAACTGACTCTAATCGATGTATGACCCTCTATCAAGAAAGTTATAAAACTTTTAAAACAGCCCCAGAAAAAAAAACACAACTGTTGAAGGTCACGAGAAAGATTGTGTAAAGAGTACCTAAGTTGTGAATAGGAACAGAAAATTTATTCTTTCATACTACATATCTACAAGTCAGTTAAAGCAAACAGACATCACAAGAAACAAAACAAATTAAGCAAATTGCGAGGTAAAGCAAGTATAAATGTACAATGTTTATTTCTTATTCAATCTTTCAAAGGTGACACATGCTACAAACTTACCTATAACATGTATTTATTTACAGGTAAAACCTTACATAAAAATCCCATAAGTGTTGAAAAAAAAGATAGTTATGCAAAAATAACTACACGTGGTGTGCATCAAGACATATAGCTGTAAACGATGTGTGTATTAAGACATATTTTCATATATCCCCTAACCAAACTTGCCTGAAGTCAGTCAATTGATTAAAAAAATATAAGTTTTATTTTATTACGATCGGAACAGCTGAGTTTTTATTAACGAGCTGAGTGCATTTTATTTTTTTCATCTTTAAGCAGCAAACTATTTATGGATGATATTAAATGTTCAATTGTATCAAAGTAAAAATAAACCAAAATCAGTTTTTCTGGTAAATGTTGTATACTTGTTTTGTACAAAATAAAAGTCAAACATATGTTACTGTTACACTATGGTATGGCATATCTTCCAATGAACAGCGGTGTTCCTGTTTCGTCATCCTGAATCAAAAACAAGAAAGGATGATCTGCCACAAATTGAAATGGCTGGGGCTTAGGATCCTGTATTGCAGTTGATCCACTAGTTGATGTAGTAGCAGCTGTCGCTTCGCTTCCATCTTCATTCACTTCAATATAAGCTTTATGACGTGCATCAGTCACACGCACGCGTGTTACATTAGGCTGGAATATTTCACTAAAGTCCGCAATATTTTCGTCAAAGATTTCCGTTAAACCTAACGCTTTACAAATTGGCGTCAAATCGTACTCGCTTGACATTGTAAATTTGGGAATTCGAATAATTGTCTTCTGTGTCTTCAGACCGCTTACAAGTGTTTTGAAATTATACATGGTAAGTTTACTTTCTAGTTCAAAGAGTCCATCTTCAGCATTTGGCAAAACAACTATCATAGAGATCTTGTTTTCTTTATATGGCAGTTGTAAAACCTTGCAGTCAAGTGAAAGGTCTTCACCAGACTTTGCATCAAACTCACCGTACATCATATTAACCAGCTTTTGCTCATTCGCTCTCACGAAAAAGTTCCTTTGTTTCGTGTCATTCCTGTTGAACTCTTTTTTCCATGTACCTTTAAAGTAAATAGCGTTTGCTACTACTAATAAAGTATTTTCATTAAGAACATTTTTTGGAATCATATTTTTAATTTGATTATTTGTATTTTTGGAAATCCAATCATTTATTGTCAATCTTGACTTTTCCGCCTCTGTTACAAAATCCAAGAGTTCAACATCACTACCATAGTATGCAAACGCCTTTGTAGTAAAAGTGCTTAAAAGATTTAAACTCTTACTGCCGTATAACCTGTTTGCAATAGATAATTTTACTCCTGTTGTTGTTCTCGTCAAGAGTTCATCACTAAGAAGCTTGTATCCCTGGTCGATATCATCTGGTTTTTCATATTCGAAAATAACCGACTTCATCTGGTTCCTAGTCGTTTTGCCGGTTCCAAGCATAAGGAGTAATAGTGCTGACGTTATACTGTATGGCGAAATGAATTCATTTCCAGTTCTGTCTAATTTGTTGTACAAGGAGTTGGAAAAATTTGCAATCCCTTCTTCGAAGACTACATTCGATCCATTAAGCTGAGAAGCCATTTAAGAGCTTACAAGATGAAATAAAGCAAGTATGATAGTAGTAAATTTGTTTACGGTAAAATTGAGAATGGAAATGGGGAATTGGTGCATCTTTATATATACCGGACTTGTCAGCTTTGACACATGTTTGTTTATAAGAATATGCATGTATATATAGCTTGTAAGCCATGAATTAATTAACATTCTTCGTCAATATGTCTACCACTATTAACACGTATGACTCAGTAGCTAAGATTCTCATTATGTTTTCTTATCTTGTTGACAGTTGAGTGCATTTAAAAAAAGTCATTAATTTTATTTTCTCGATTAATTGTAGTAAAACTAAGATTATTCAGTTACCTATTAAAGGACGGCCTGTATTTGGTTTATCGAGGAATCAGTCCATTTTTCTACTCTTGTATTACATATATCTAGGTTACTTGACACAGTAGTGTAAATACAACTATCGAGGAATCAGTCCATTTTTCTACTCTTGTATTACATGTATCTAGGTTACTTGACACAGTAGTGTAAATACAACTATCAGGTATGTGGGATTAGTTTGGCGAGCAGAGTAAGCACCATATTTTGGAAACTCTGTAAGAATTGAACGAAACAAATTATCTTTTGATTTACCATAAAGTTTAAACTGAAAATGAATCATCACAAAATAACCAGGACTAATTGAAGTATGAGTTATGTTATATAGATACAATGGATAAGCGTGGATTCTTGAAAAAGAAACCATGAGCCCGGAGGGCGAATGGTTTGTTTTTCATGATTCTACGCTTATCCATTGTATCTATAACTTAAACTATTGTGTTAATTTCTTTTCAAAATTAAAGCCTTTTCTTAATTAGAAGGTACTGTAAGTGAGTTTAAATAACCATGTTATCGTGTCCAACGATGCATTGATAATTCTCAGATCACAATTAATTGGTTAACAAAATACAAATATAACACTTCTACCTTTAAAGATATTTATATTATCAGGCATCTGAATATTATCTGTTTTTACAAAATAAGACATATTGGAACTTATTTCTAATAAAATTGAGAATGGAAATGGGGAATGTGTCAAAGAGACAACAACCCGACCAAAGAGCATATATAAAGTATATATGATAAGTATGTTACCGAAATTTCTAGCACTCTAGGCACATCACAATTTTCTAGCATAGAAATTTGCGAACAAATATTTGTAAAATTATGTAGTAAAACAGATGAAATCATACTATATTTATACAACAAAAATTGACAAATAGAATGTAATCATTTGTGTTTCAAACATGTGAAATAGCCAATAATAATCCAAAAAATAAACGGTAAAACACGCTATTATTACAAAAATATCCACTATAACATGCAAAATTAGAAAAAAAAACCAGAATTGGGACAACAGAGATAATACAGGGATTCGAACCTAAACCGACAAATCCCTATATTTTTAACTCGTTGATTTTAAGCATGCTAACCTCGCGGCTACCAACTTATACTATACTGCCCATTGTGTATACATAAAGGTACAACCCCTGTGTGTCCGATGTTCATTTATATATATAAAATAGACATCTAAGTTGTAAACCATTGGTAGCCGAGAGGTTTCGTCGATGTGTTGATGTCAGTCATTCATAACAGATTTCAAGGAAGGGTTCGATTCCCAGTGAAGGCATATACAAATTACAAAAATTAAGTCTAGGTTAGTCTATGGAAAGGTATATACTATGAAATTTAGAGCGAGGGGCTTGCCCCGAGCTCTTAATTTCATAGTATATATCTTTCCATAGACTATCCAATTTAGCACATATTTACAACTCGAGTAATCTTTTAATTGGTCTATTGATAGTTTATTTTGGCTGAATACTTGTATCACAGGTGTTTGTAAAAAGGAGCTCATTAACGAAGTTTTGTAAATCTACTCACTAGTATTATTGTTAAATATGTGATTTCAAAAGGCCCTCAAGTTCACTCCAGAATGAAAAGATGGTAGCTGCTGGTGTAAGTATGTATACTGATATAAAGCGGTGTTTTACTATACATGTTCTTCTTACATGGTAAGATGACAAAATAAATTGACCAAAAGCAGGCAATAATTAAATTGCAGTGGAAGCTTTACATGTTTTGAAATTTTTTATTAATTTCACAGTAAAACTAAAGCTATAATAAATTTGAAACATAGAGATAGTTTGTCCCCATAGATATAGTCTAGCAGATAGGCATTAAAAAGCAACTACCAATAGATCAGAGATTATAGGATTGTGTTTTGTGTTTTTTTTTTTTTTTTATTATTTCAAAGTAAAAACTAAAAGATTTATCAGAATATGTTTATATATATATATATAGGTGGCACATTATCTTCAGACATAATCACAGTTTTCAAATTCATGACATCGTCCTGAACATGCATGAAATATTTGCCACTGGACATTTAGCAACCAATAATCAATAAATCAACCAATTAATGACGAAATAGATCACCTTCCTTAAGAAAGTTTATCACCAATTTGCTTTAATTTTCCTGCACAAGGTTTCATAGTACACACTTTTCTGTGTACAAAGTAATTGCATGGATGATACATTATCATAATTTTAAGATATCGTTGTACTCTAATCAAGGTATAAAGAACCATATGTATTACCCTTTATTTAAATGATAAAATTTGCAATTGTAAAAAACAATTTTTAGATCCAAAGATTTTAATAGCAAGATATTTAAAAATCAACATGAAAACTAATTACAAACTATTTAATTTAAATTAGAACACAGCATTTTATTCAAAATAGCCAGTGGCAATTTTTGTTTTAAATATCTTGATTACGATACAATGAAATCTAACCCTTGTGGTCATTCATGCGTAGTTACTTAGTACACAGGAAAAGTATGTACTATGAAAATTAGAAGGCAAATATAAGCAATTTGATTGGACGAGAAGTTGTAAATATGTGCTAAAGGTAAGTTTTTAAATTAATTCCATTAGTGAACAGAAATCAGTAAATTAGCCAATTAAAACTTAATGAAATTAGACACACAAAGGAAACAATTGAATATAATTTGGTGAGTCCATTTCAGAGGCAGATTTAGGAAGCGTTGATTCTAGAAAAAGAATCCACGGTAAATGAATAGGCTTACGTCACCACAATGGTTTAAATAAATGTAGAACTTTAAGAAATAAATTGGCAAACTGTTATGTCCCATTTAAGTAAATACAGGTCATGCAGAAGCGAACATCAACTATGAAATTGATCAAATGAATAATGAAAGTAGAATCAGGTCTCTTTGATGTACATTTATTACCTTGTATTCAAAGAATGCAAAAATCACAGAATTACTACTTAAGTATCCGCTAATAAGTAGTATACAGTTACTCCTGTCTGATGATGATTTGTAAAAATCACATTTGTTCAGTTTTGCTTTTTGGATTTTTTTGCCTATGAGTTTTTTAATTTTTTTTCTTGTGTATCTGTTAAGTTAAGTAAAAAATTATCGACAAAAAAAAAAAGCAAAAATATATCTAGACGTCAACATGTGGTCTTAAACACATGCTTATCACCTACGAGCTTGAAAAAACACGATTGGTACAGATACTAGCCTGTTGTTGAGGACCCCTTGTTGACTTCCAAATATCTTTTATGCTGTTGGGTTGCTTTCTCACCAAGGAATAATCACTGAAGGATATGTCAATATCATAAAAGTTTCATGTTTCGCAAAATACTAACTCGCTACAAATTTAAAAAAATTATGAATAACATAACATGAATCAACATCTGTTTTCTATATCAAAGTTCTAAAGCGAATAAAAAGCCATTGAGATATAACTTCAGACAGCCACTAACAAAATTCAACACGTTAAACAAGGTAATTAGCTAGGTAAGGTTTCAAATAATTGTTAAGATCACATTAACCATAAAACGCAAATACAAGCACAAAAAAAAAAAAACAAAGAACGCTCGCAGTTATTAAACACAAAGTCGATATTTTACCATCTTACGGTGTAATATACAGTCCGCCAAAAGTTAAGCACCACCTATTTTTATTGCATCGAAATTTTTTTCATTTAAAAAAATCAGTTAATCCTCGAAAAAGAGAAAAATATTCATGTAGCAATTTTGCTAACATATACCATAAACAAACCGTAGACTTAAGTTTGTTCACGTATGCAGATTATATGCATTTGAAATTTGCGTTCATAGAAATAGTGAAAATTACACAAATCAGAAACGGAATTTAAGTTTCACTGTGGTTTTATTTTTTTACAACAATTAATCACCCAATATCATTTAAAGTCTCTACAAATAATCTTTGGTATGTTCGGCAAATTTAATGTCAATATTTGGGTCAATAGGATGTGTAACACCCTCTCTTCCGGTACAGTTCCAAAACACGGAGTCTCATACTCTGTACAAGCCCTGTGAACTTTAGTTGAGCAAATTTATTCCATTGAGCAACAATTGCGCTTCTTAAATCGCTAAGATTTTGCAAAGGGTGATCTCTGCGATTGAGATTTCTTCCAATGGCATCCCAGACATGTTCGATAGGGTTCATGTCTGGAGACATGGAAGGCCAAAAGATAGTGTCAATGGCTTCTTGCTCTTTGTACTATTTGTACTCGGTTACAATCCTTTCCCTGTGTGGTCTAGCATTGTCGTACATACACAAGGGTCTTGAAGCAAGTGGAGGATTATCAAAATGAGGAATACAATGTTTGTAAGCACCAAATTCCTGTATGTCTGTCCGTTCATGTTACCCTGCAGAATATGCATACCCACCTTACAACAGAATGAGAAGAAACCCCATACTGTAACACCACCAGCAACGCACGCAGTCGTTGGGCAATTTTTGTTTTGGTCACTAGCAGTTTTATTTCCACGACAAACTCGTATTCTGCCGTCTTTTGGTCGTAACAGAAACTGACTCTCATTTGACCAATGAACATTTTGCCAGCTTCTCATGTTCCAGCGTCGATGGTCATTAGCCCTTTGAAACCTGATTATACGGTGCCTGGTTGATAGGACAGGTCTCTTGACAACACGACGTGCTCTTATGTAGCCTCTATGAAGTCGACGGACCAATGTTCAAACACTAACATGACCACCTTGACGCCAGTGGTGTCTAAGTTGTGGGGCAGGAGTAAATGGGTTGGCTTTAGCACAACAAATAAGGAGTCTGTCATCACGATCGGTAGTTAAACGGGGTCTTCCGGGCCTTGGTCTATCATTTACAGTTCCTGTGTCAACATGACGTTGTAAAAATCTGAAAATGACGGTGTGTTTAACATTGAAATGGTTACCTATGCAACTAGTGTTCCTATCGGCATTTGACATGTCAATTGCTTGCCAAGGTTCAGTCACATATAACTTTCCCCTTGCCATATTTCACAGTGACTTGGTAAAGGTCAAATTTCACCTGTACGCGCGACAGTAGGAAGATGATTTAAAGGCATCGAAACAGTGTATTCGAAAAAGTGCAGATGACCTTTAATAAAAAAATATTTGGCGTGTTTATCGGAGTTTATTTTTTTTGATCGTAATGAATTTTCTTAGTGTATG